TAAGTAATCATTAATCACAAGTTCTACAGGTCATTGTACTTTCAAATTAGAATTTTTATTTACTAACGACCTATAAATGTTATTCAAATAAAAATATTATCTTAAATAATATTATCGTAATACAAAGACATTATGAAATCTATTATTACCTAAGGGCTTATCTTTTTATCATTTATTAAATTATAATTTTAAGCCATCTGTGTTGATTTAAGATAAGATTAACACTAATAACAAAAAAAAAACTTAATGCAATTTAAAGTATATTTAAACAAATTAATAAACATAACGGAAAAATAATATTTTAATAAAAAAAATGCTATAAATCGAACACAGAAACAATAGATTTGGTCGGGAATTAGGTAATCAATCACATTACTAAAAATAATGATGTACATATACATACATACATAAGTGAGAGAGTTGTTAATATTTGTGTAACTATAAGAATAAATGTTGTTCATATATCTAATTTACATACGAATAATGCTATCCAAATTTAAAATTTCAATATATATGTAACATATAAAAATACTTAAGTTGTTTGAAGTTGCAAAGTTAAGGATTATTGCTATACACAATAAAACCTTCGGTTCAAATATCCATACACGTGATAAAAACACACAAAACAAATCTCAAGATAAATTATAATAATGTAACACAATTCGTCGTCTAAGCCGAATTTTTTATAGCGATAATATCACGAGATACAAATCTTTCGGTGCTGATTTAGTTTACACTTTACATTCTATGTATTATCGCCGAAACAAGTTTAGTTGTTAAAGCGCTCTGCTCAAAGCACGTACATTAACTATTATGTGGGTGAAGTGTTGAATAATATTGTTTACTGACGAGGTATGGTAATATTTACATCAATTATAATAGAGTAATCGACACTATTTATTAGAATATATCTTTTGGTCATAAAATAAATGAATTTATAGTAAAAAACAACTAGATTTTTTTTATTTTTTATTGCAAAAATCTGTGGTTTTGAACATATACAGTGTTTAATTGTAAGTTTTATAGTACAATTATAAAAATCTTATTTATTATATTATGTTATTATAGTATAGCACAACTTTGGTTTTGATATTTTTTTAATTTTATTATACATGAAAATACTCAAACAAATTTGTTGAAATGTAACAACTTCCTACTATGAGAGGAATTTAAATAAATAAAAAAAAAACAAATCAATCTACTTTTGACTTTATGCAACAAGCCTTGGGCTATAAAGTTTTTGTTATATATTTTAAACTATTACTTAAAGTTTCATTTAAAGAAATTCTTTAAATAACGATAAATTACGTGAGCAAGCAAATTTCCCGGTATTCATTATAGGAGTATTATAATAGTACAAGGTGAAAATCTCAAAATTAAAAATATATCAGTATCAAATTATAAAATCATATAATTATATCTGTTGATTAAATACTTTTTGTCGATTGCATTACGTAAATTCTCAATTTATTATGTACATAAATAATCTGATAACTGTCAACTTTAAAGGAATTTTAATTATATAAATGTTTATATATATTTGTTTATATATTATGTGAAGGCTCATCTTCGTTTAAATTCTAATAATCTAACTTTTATTTTTAAATCTATATATACATATAAAAGAAAGTGGTGTCAGTTAGACTATTTATACCTCAAGAACAGCTATTGGGATATGGTTGAAAATTGGTGGGGAGAAAGCTTAGAACTAGGAGACGGACATAGGATAGGATATTAATTGTGTTGGATTGAAAAAGAAAAAAACTCAATAAATTAGATATTTAAGGCCTCTAGGGTTGAATAGAGTTCGCCCGGTCAGATATATTACGAATTCCAAAACTAACGCGAACAAAGTCACGGACAAAAACTAGTAATATATAACTTAATAAACAAAATTATAATGTACCTGAATAGGAATGAAACAAACAATGTTGATTTACATTTGAATTTAGATCAAACATCAACACGAATAATTTGTTTTGAAAGAAATTTAGAGCATTTAAAATTTTACTGTTTGACATGGATGCATTCTAATTACTTGTAGGTGATATTAAATAGATATTTAGTAAGGAAATTACGGTTTTTGGATATACTACACGATTTCCTATATTATTATATTCCATTCGACGTTTCTGTTAAATACAAAAACTGTGATCGCGAGAAGAAAAACAGCAAGTAAAATATATTTCATTAAAAAAATATATTTAAAACAAAATAAATTTCAACATATGTATATATTTAAGTACTATTTTTCAATAATAGAGTATAAAATAAAATTGTTAACTCATATTTTTATTGCAATATATTTTAAAATCTTCGAATTCTTATCATCGAACTAAATTGATAAAAAAAAAACAAAGATTGCTAAGTATTAGATATCAGATTTATCACCACAGGCGGGGTCAGAGCACGGAAATTATATATTGGCCAAAAAGTTCCTATTCAAATATTAAAACACAAAAAAATATATAAAAAAATACATAATTAAAAACAAATTATTCTATATTATAGCCTGCCAGCATTATATTTGATTCTTAAATTAAATAACAAATTTGCAAAGAAATGCGGTCCAGAATCTGGTAGCTTGCAATTCAAAATAAGCATAGTATAACAGTCTACCTATCGTAGGCCTCAGACGCAATCCGTATGATTTGGTCGCGTCACTGACAAAAAATAATGATGTTCTTCTACAGAATATAAATTATTTAAATAATCAAGCAACATTTTGAATTTTAATCCAACTTTTATTCTATATCTCTGTATCAACAATTATCGGTACAAGTATTACTTTTCTTCAGAAGAATGAAATTGGATCATATGATTGAATATCATTTGAAGTAGTGTTGATATCAGTGTTGCCACATCTTTTGACCTCGACATAAGAGTTTCCGTCTAAGTAGTCTGTGAGTCTACAAATATAAAAATTATATACACGTACTGGTCGAAGGTCAGGAGATTATGGAAATTAGGAGTAGTTTTATTTTGTCCAAAAGATATTTACTTTCAACCAACTTTGTTTTTATTCCACCTATATAAAACTTAACGATACAAAAATCGTTAATATAAAAAACAAGAAGTACTCGTATATCCGAAAAATTAATTTTATTTCAAAGACAAAAATAAAAATCATTTGTAATTGAGATGAACTGAGATTTTTACTCTCTTCTTTTACGAGCGCAGAAATTCGAAAATCGTTATAATTACTCAACTTACTAGATTATTCTTAACATGTAAAATTATTTAAATTAGTATAATTCTGCAGAGCGTTTAGTTTTATTATTCAAATTTTTGAAAATGTCATTGTTCAAAAATTAAAACACAAAAAGATAACCTTGAAGTTATATTTTGCAAACTATTCAAATTTATTATTATATCTTAAATAAATCCATTTTTAAACTGTATTCCTAGCATTTAAGACGCTAAATGGTTTGTTATTAAACAGTAGTTAGTTTAAAATTATTGATTAGATATCGACATATTGTAGAATAAGTTTTGCAATTGATTTAAAACTACGAAAATATTTTACATTTATATGCTAGAAACACGGCACATACAATTTCTATTCTTGGTTCTTAAATTAACAAAACAATTATTACACCTTCAAGAACTATATGGAATTTAGGAGATGTACTTCACACACCTACAATATTACTTTTGTTTCACTAAAAACAGATTATAATTGAATTTCATTATATTTTTTAACCCCAAAGGCCACAATTTGAAGGTTAACGAAACACATATTAATTAATTAAAATAATAAAATCTCTCATCAAATAATTGATTTTTTATGTCAAAATAGCAACAGAAAAATCTATAAATAGTAAGTAGTTATAATCTTGTTTCTTCTCAATTGTTATTTCTTTATTAAAGTAAATATTAAGAGCTGACAATGATATAATATAGGATTTTAAACTTTAAGATACTTAAGGCTTGTTTGTTTAAGGCATCAACCATTCATAACTAGAAGTAATTCTCCTCTTGGTGATTTTCCAGGGCCAACTTTTTCTTCTTAGCTTTAATATTCTAACTGATAATATTCCAATTATATTTAATGAAAACGCTTAAAACTTGAGCTAAATGTCGATGAAAATAAAAAATTACTATGAATAATGATAATATCTGTATGCTTAGCATACAAACGTATGCAACGTGACACTTTATATGAAGTTTTTCATTTATAATAATCTTATACTATGTGGAAATATATATAAATAAAAAAAACTATTAAAGCTTCGTATGTCGAGTCACGTGTGGCTTTGCAAAACTTGAAGTAAGCACTCAACGGAATGAAATGCCTTGAATGAAGTTATGGATAAACTGTGATTTACATAAGTACATAATTAATACCTATCAAAAAACGAAATATGACGAAGGTGTTTTCATATAAACAAACAGACTTACATATTAAATTTACTGAGAAAAACCGCTGTCAAAACTATGTATAAGTTACATTGAACTCTGGACCGCTGTAATAATTATCATTATGTATAACACCCATATTGGTTTAATAACGGAAAATTATTTTCTCTGTAACACACTTGACTTGGACATGTAAATTAAACTAGTTAAATTACAAGTAAAAATACACTGTAATACATCATTATGTTTAAGAAAATACTTAAATATTATAGAAAAAAATCTTCTTAGTTTCATAATTGAGTGATTTATAAAGAGTATCATTACAAGTATATTACGAGAAAAAATGTTTCTTTAACTTTGGATTAACTTAGTTTTTATATCGAATTAAACATGTCTGTACTGTTACTTCACTGAATTATCCATATTTTTTCTATAATACTGATTGGTTAAAGTTCAAACGAAAGTCTAATGATCGAAATGAACTCATTTTCAATGTAAATATATATATAACATTTATAATAATACATATACTTCATTACGAAGTTAAAAAGTAACGTTTTATACCCTAAAATATGGATGCAATTTTTTATTTTAAGTTGATAAGTAATCCGTTTTTTTCCACAGGTACCTCATTCGCAGAAATGGACAAGATATCATTTACGATAAACGGCGAACACTACTCTTTATGTTAGTATAAGTATAAGTAGTAGTATCTTATTATTTTAATTAATATAAACGAATAGATGCAATAAAAATTTTAATTCCGAAAGATTACATACGGATCTCATTATTTCTTATAGATTCGATTGGTCAATAATCCTAAATGTCTCTTATTTAATTCGATATTGAATATTTTTATTGTAACAAACCAACATTTCTTAGAACTAAAACCATATATTTAAAATATATTTAAAACAATGGTTATAAATAACATGTGTATAACTAATGCGTATAATTAATTGTTTTCTGTTTCTTGGCATATTAACAAAGTTATGCTAATTTAATTTATCTATAATAAAATATTACATTAAGTTTGAACTTGAAAAATTTCATTCTACTTCATGAAATTAGATCGATTGTGTTTTGATATTTTATAAAAGATATATTGTATATCTATGGTTACAAACTTAAGGTTGATTTATAAGACCTATTCAGACCCAGTTTCACCAATCAATTTTAAATAAGTAATATCGTGTTAAGGCGTTTGATGCTCTGTTAGGTGTATCGAGCGTCCCACCACGCACAAATGTCCGTTTAAAAGTCTTAACCAGCCACTAATATTAATTCCTGCTTTGGAGCTCCGTCTAATGGCTAACCGCATGTTAATGGCATCAAGTCAAAACTAAATTGTCAAATCACAGGCCTGATTTCTTGTAACCATAGTAACGTCATCTGTTTCGTCAGTTTCGACTATTTCCTTGTTATTATTAATAAAGTGAATTAAAATTTCATTTAGAATGATGATTTTCCCTCCAGCTTTTCTATGACATAGCAAATTAAGTTTTCTTTTTATTTCTTATAATTTGAACACACTTTATGTCTATATTTATAACACAACAATATATAACACAATTTATTGACAATACGATTTTGACAAGTAACACCCAGTAAATTGAAAAGAAAGCTTTTGGTGTGCTAAATGTATGCAATCAACGATATATAAAATTTAGTCACATTAGCTTACAAGTGACGTATCGAGGGATATATACGATCAAAGTATAAAGTTGTGCATCGTGGCAAACGTACCTTGTTAAACGCTATAGTTTCCACTTGGTCGTCTTATAACAAGAACGAATAATTTGGTAGTCGGTCATTTGACATGACGTTTAATAATGCCTTGTTAATTTGTCATCGCGGGACGTAAATATTTTAACAGACATTTATAATTTTGAAGGTTGGTTAGTAAATGCTGTGATTAGACTAAACAAACATTGATTGGTGAAACTGGGTCTTAATGTACTAACTTCTTGATCTGTATTTATAATCAAGTTAGAATGATCACTGTGCTATTTAGGAAAAAGGATTGAAACTTCAATAATCAAAAAAATATAAAAAAGTATTAATTGTGCGTGGAGTCCCTCCGAGTGGAAGAAGTGAAACTTTGTAATGTTGTCATGAAAACAGGGAGGGGTAGAATATATTTTTACGAAATTTTTTTGTCTTTCTTAAAAACAAACTATTAAAATTACTTTCAAGTCACAATTGATTGCCATAATTCCTTCGATCGTCATTCATTCTCTCACTCTGTCTCTTTTTATCAATCCCCCCCCCAGATTTGTAAACGTTTAACGCAACCTCGTTAGAAGTCGCAGAAAAGTTTCACTTCTATAATATTGATATTTAACTTTAATATCTCAAATTTATATTAAATATTGTCTCTTCTAGCGGGTTCGGAAGTGTCTGCATCCACCACTCTCAATGATTACCTCAGGAACTACCTCGGCCTCGTGGGAACAAAGGCAATGTGTCATGAGGGTGGTTGCGGCGCCTGCATCGTTACGGTTGCCAAAAATGACCCAATAACTAATGAGAAGCAAATAGTTGGAGTTAATTCTGTAAGAACTCAATGTGTTTGAATCATAAGATTTTTTTTTTAATTTTTACCTAATACTATATTTATCACTACTTATATATTAAAATTTTTACTTTTTACCAAAGTTAACCATCCGTTCTATTCTGCAATGTTGCAGAATCGTGTAATTTTTTTTCTCAATGCCGATAATATCTATATTATTTTTTATAACTTTATTTCTTTACGCTTCATTGTTTATTTAGTAGCTGTAACCAATAAATTGCTTAATAATAACACTTTAAACATTGCTATTATTAGTTTATTTATTTAGTTAAATATTGTAATTTCATTGGAAGTTTAGCAGTTGGTTTTCTATCCTACTGTCTTTTGCAGTGTTTGGTTCATATTTTATCCTGTCATGAGTGGGATATAACAACCATTGAGGGGGTTGGCAACCGAAAAGATGGATATCACAACCTGCAAACAAGATTAGCAAAATTCAACGGCACCCAATGCGGTTATTGCACCCCAGGGGTGATCATGAATATGTATAGGTAACATATATTCTTATTTCATTTGATTCCTTTCATTTGCAAATATAATGTCGTTAATTTTGAATATTATTTCAAGAAAAATTGTGTTATGTTTTTAAATATTTTTTTTGAGACATTAATCAAACTGAAATCTCCAAATTCTAGTAAACATTCTATTATAACACAATACATGTATGAGATGCTAACAATTGCAAAAATGTTCATACCTTGTAGGACTCTATAATCATTTACTTTTTAGTCTCCAAAAAGGATCGGATAAAGCGCTGACACCAAAGGAAATAGAAAGAGCCTTTGCAGGTAACTTGTGCCGCTGTACTGGCTACCGTTCGATACTTGATGCTTTCAAAACCTTTTCCACTGCTGACTATGATGATGGGTTACAGGTTCCTTAATACATTACTATTGGAAATATATCATTAATATGTCGAATATTTTAACGATTGAATCCCAACTTACAGGATTTAGAGGAATTGCATGAAATAAGATGTAAGAAGAAAAATAGTATTTGTGAAAACAAAGACGATTGGTGCTTCCTTGATAAGAGCGATGAACTGATGAAAATCACAGTGGATTCAAACAAGTGGTATAAAGCCTTTTCGATAGAAGACATATATAAGGTAAAAAATACAAATTTTACGATTATTATATTTAAATCTTCTTTCGAAAAACTCAATGTTATATTTGCTCAGGTACTCAACAAAGAAGGTACAGATAGTTACCGATTGGTTGGTGGTAATACAGGAAAAGGTGAGTATTTTAGTAAACCATGTTTTACTACAAATATAATAGTATTTGCCATATATAATGTTGGTTTAGCAACTTTTAACAAATATGCCGTTTCTAATACGTATGGTTTATATATAGGTGTGTACCCCATAATTGAGGAACCAAGAGTCCATATCGACATATCGTCTGTAGATACATTTAAAGAAGTGAACAAAGATATCAATCTTGTGCTTGGAGTAGGACTGTCATTATCTGAATTGAAAATTGTGTTGGAGAGAGAGATGAAAAATCCAGAATTTACTTACTTAAGCAAATTTCGCGATCATTTGGAGCTAGTAGCAAGTATCCCAGTAAAAAATGTAAGTATTAATTGTTAGATATAAAAAATATGTATATATATTTTGTCTATAAAATAAAATTTAATTATTTTCTTAGATCGGAACTATTGGAGGGAATTTAGCACTGAAGAATGCTCATCCTGAATTTCAATCGGACATTTTTATTATGTTTGAAACCGTCGGTGCAACTGTAACAATACGTATGTATTTTTTTGTTAAAACTTTTGTTAATGGACACTTACGATATTTACCTCAAGCTAAGTGTTGCTGTCTTAACATTCAGCTTATAGTATAATTAGTTATCATAGAATGTTTGTTTTTTTAGTTGACAAAACTCTCAAGCAAACGGAGATAAATTTACAGAAGTTTTTGAAATTGGATTTGACAAACAGACTTATACTTAACGTGAAACTACCTCCTTTGTCCCAACACAACTTAATCAAAACTTATAAGGTGAGATACTTCTTTTCACTTTCAGTTTCAAAGTATAGTAAAGTACAATTAATACACAATGTAAAATGATTACGTTGAAACAATATATATTTTGATAATTTCATCACATAAATTTTGAATTTTTTTCTACAGATAATGCCACGCGCCCAAAACGCTCATGCAATTGTTAATGCCGGGTTTCATTTTTTTATGGGATCAGACAAGAAGGTTACAAAAGCTACAGTAGTCTACGGTGGTATTAGTTCTACTTTCACCCACGCTTCAAATGTGGAAAGTATGCTGAAGGGACTGGAACTTTTCAAGGATGAAACTCTTAACAAAGCCTTATATATATTACAACAAGAGCTCGTACCTGAGGATATGCCACCAGAAGCTTCTCCTTTTAGTAGAAAAGCTATAGCTTTAGGACTTTTTTACAAGGTACCTAATTGAAAACTTTAAAAAATGAGATTTCCTTACAAACTTTTAAAGTACGTAAAAAAAATGTATAATAATAACCATTTATAAATGTTTTCAGGCGATTCTTTCATTGAGTCCGTCGGTGAATCCACGGTTTGCATCTGGCGGTAATGATCTTATTAGACCCGTATCCAGTGGCACTCAGACATATGACACAGACAAGACCGTGTGGCCTCTCAATCAACCTATACCAAAATTAGAAGCATTGACACAAGTACGCCTACAATGGTTTTTTTTTTGTGTATGGCCTATCAATTTGAATTAATGACGAAATATTAATCCATATTATTATTTCAGTGTTCTGGTGAAGCATTGTATTCTTGTGATATTACATCCCAACGCGAAGTTCACGTAGCTTTCGTTTTGTCGACTATATGTCTTGGAGAAATTGTAGGATTCGATGCCAGTAAAGCCATGGTCAGTTATATTTCTTATAAATGCACTTATAATTTTTATATACTTTTATTAAACAAAGTTCTAAAATATATATTTTCAACAGCAAATTCCTGGAGTTCTAGCATTTTATACGGCTAAGGATATTCCAGGCGTAAACAATTGTGTCGGATGTGATTTTGATGATCTAGATTTAAGAGAAGAAATCATAGCGAGTAAAAGGGTTATTTATTATGGACAGCCAGTTGGTATTATAGCAGCAGTGACCAGAAAACTTGCTTTAAAAGCAGCCAGTCTAGTGAAGGTTTCATATAAAGAGGATCCTGCTAAACCTGTTCTCAGCATAGAAGAAGCGCTAAATGCTCCTGATAAAGACAGACGGGTACATTTTAAGGAAATCTGTATAATATACATTAAAAAATTATGTTCTCAAATAAATTATTCTTTCAGATTCGCCAATATGTAACAATTAAAGCGAAAGAAAAAGGAACACAGATAACTCATACTGTGAGTGGTAATTTTAAAGTCCCAGATCAGTATCACTTCACAATGGAGACTCAAAGTTGTAGAGTCACTCACTCAAGACGAGGTCTTCGAGTACGATCAGCGACCCAGTGGATGGATCTAGTGCAATCAGCTGTAGCACAAAGTCTACAACTACCTCAAAATAGGTGAGAAAGGAATTCCTAGAAGGCTCTTCAACTGTTTCGAGGAATAAATCCTCCTAAAACATTAGATAATTTAAAGTAAATTTGTGTTATTTTGCTTAAGAACTGTTTATAATGGTACATCCTTTTATTTCTCTTGCACATCGAATTAAAAATATTATATAAAGGAATGTAGAACTGTGTATAAACTATAAAGTATGATAAGTTATTATTTCATCATCCCAATTTTTTTTTAATTGTCAGAATAATAAATTGGCTTCTATAAAAAATATTTTACTATAGGACGTTACTGGATATAGAAACATCTTTAAAATATTTATGTTCTGATATTATGATTACTATCAATAGAGTTGACGTAGAAGTGGATCGTATCGGCGGCGGGTACGGTGGCAAGGCTTCACGATCGAGCATGGTGGCGTGCGCGTGCGCACTTGTTGCTTACAAACTCAACAAGGACGCATCCTTCGTACTCCCGATAACTGACAACATGGAAGCTGTAGGAAAACGACACGCTGCATATCTTAATTATGAGGTATAATATTAGATGGCTACTTAAATTTCCTAATTTATTTATAATGAAAAGTAGTTGAGATGTGGAATCCAGCTTTTCGGTATTATTTGGGTTTAAGGTAAATATTAGGTCCCAAATGAAGATTTTCAGACTTGATAACTATCTGACCATATACGCATGATAAATAAAAACATTTGCTTAGATGTGATTGATAAGTAATTGCACATCTTGACATAGATTATATAAATAATCGTAGATTACATATGCTATTACAGATTGGTATTAACGACGATGGAGTAATTCAATACGCAAATATAAATTTCTATTCTGATAGTGGTTGCTTGTTCAACGAAGCTCAAGCAAGGCCTATAGCAAACGCTTTGGCAAACTTGTATGATACCTCTAGGTGGAACATATCAGGTTATAGCGTTCTTACTGACAAGGCGAGTAATACTTGGTGTAGGGCTCCTGGTGAGTTCTTGGTGCTTTAATTTGAAATAGGTTGAAAAACAGCTATTTGCTCGCAATAACTAAACATTCTTCGAATTCTATGTTTCAGGAACAACCGAAGCAAACGCGATGTTAGAACACATTATGGAAAGAATCGCCCACGCCATTAATAAGGACTCAATCGAAGTTCGTAAAATCAATATTGCATTGGAACATAATACTCTCATTGATATGATTGACAAATTCGTTACTGACGCTCAATATATGGAACGTAAAGCAGACATTGAGAAATTTAATACCGATAATGCTTGGAGGAAGAGGGCAATGAAACTATCTATAATGTCTTTTCCCTTAGAATATTACGGAAACTTCTCGGTAATAATATCAGTTTTTCACGGAGATGGAACAATATTGATATCTCATGGTGGTATAGAGATGGGACAGGGAATTAACACGAAGATAGCTCAAGTGTGCGCCTATAGTCTTAAAGTGCCATTGAAAATGATTACAGTAAAGGGAGCTGATAATTTTATATCCCCAAATAACATGGCAAGCAGTGGAAGTATTACTAGCGAGTGTGTTGCTTTCGCGACTACCAAAGCTTGCAAGGACTTATTGACTCGATTGGAACCCGTTAGATTGGAGATGAAAGAACCCACTTGGGATGAAGTAATCAAGGCTGCTTATAGTAAAGGTGTGGTTATTTGACTATATTTTTATTATAAAACAAATGTATGAGCATTAGAATAGCATACAAAATTATATTATTCTTTGGAATGAATTGAAAGTAATTGCATAATTTATAATGATTACAGGCATACAACTACAAACGACCTCATCCTACTCTTTGTTAGACGATGTACAGGGTTATCCAATATACGGAATAGGTTCTTTGGAGGTTGAATTAGACGTACTGACAGGATTATCTCTTATTAGAAGAGTGGATATATTGGAAGACACTGGCAGAAGTATGAACCCTGACGTAGACGTAGGACAGGTAACTTTTAACCAGTGGTTTCTTAGTTTTATATCAATATATTTGAAATAATGCCAAGGAAACTCTATTATGACTTTTCTTAAATCCTCGTGGTAAATTTGAAGCGAAAACAAACCAATAACAAATGTTTCAAGTCTTTTATATTGTATGAACATAAGAACTTTTTTGACTTAACATTAATACTTCATAAATATTATTTTATGGCCAATCATTAGTATCTTATGAAAGAACAAGTAACGTCTAAATGGTTTCTAATATAAACAACCAATTTACATATTGTTCCTTGAAAATTAAGTACATTTCTTTTCTTTTCAGATTGAAGGGGCGTTTATAATGGGATTGGGTATGTGGACGTCAGAGAATTTAATTTATGACAAACAAACTGGGAAACTATTGACTAATCGTACTTGGAATTATAAACCACCGGGTGCTTGTGATATTCCGATCGACTTCAGAATTACCTTTAAAAGAAACTCGTATAATAACAATGGTGTTTTGAGATCTAAAGGTAAATAAAGCTATAGATTTTATATACATGAAATATTATGTAAAAATTTTCCCGACGTTTCGATTACTTTACATCATTCGTAGCACTCGCAAAAATCATAGATATTATTATCTTAAATTAAATCATAGACATATAATCCCAATTTTCAATATAATGTATTTCTTTGTTAATATTATATGTATTTAAATGAAAATAATATTTTGCTGTTTTAATCAGGGTTTTTTTTTACCGTTGCTGAAAAGTAATCGAAACGTCGGAAGTATGTACTTTTAAAAATAAAATACACGTACATAGTAATTCGAAAATATTAATTCATTTAAATGAATACTCGCTACAGTTTTAGATCTTATTGTTATATATATTAAGTATTTCATGTATTATTTCTTTGAAGCGACTGGAGAGCCAGCTCTTTTGTTATCTGTCGTGGTCGCACTCGCATTGCATGAAGCCATTTTGGAAACACGGAAGGAATATGGATATGTGGATATAGATTGGGTACATGTGGGTGAGTATATATTATATACATACATATATGTGTTAATAAATATGACATATGAAAAGACAACCTTAAATAATATTTTAAATAAACAGTTTTCCTCTTGTTATGTTAAAAATGTGTAAATTAAAATAACATTCTTTTCACGTTGATCTAATTCCCAAAAATATACGTACATAAGTTTGAAACAAATAATTTATTACTTCTAAAATATCTTATGTTAATAATATTCATTTGAGTTTGTGTAATATTGATATCCTATTATCATTATATTTCTTAGAATCTTAGGCTCAGAAAACTTAAAACATTAGTTAACATTAAATTTACCCAGTTTAGGTTAAAATAGAAACTATAGCAAAAGACAATTTATTAGAAATTTCTATCATAATTACGATTGTTTGTTTGTATATTAATCACTTTATTCAGTATTGTGCAAGGGTGAATCAGGAACTAATGTTCCAATTAACATTTAAACCAAAACCTTTTATGCATAAGTCTAAAAGGTGAGGTAAAAGCTTGTTTTAACTGCCATCGAGCAAGCAAATTTAAAGTTTAGATACGGAAATCCTATTAAATAAACAGATAGACCGACAGAAAAAAATACCCCAATTACTGTTTTGTTTTAAGGACATCCGCTTAAACTGTAGGTACATAATACATATTTTGATAACTTTTCAATATATGTACATAGTTATCTAATATAGTAAAAGAGACGATATCGTGTTTAACTTTTCGCTTTATATGTTTCTTAAATGTAATATAACAATTTACAATTCAAACAGTATGTATATGTTTTATGACAATAATTTTAATGATTACGTAATTGGTAAGATTGTTTGTTCTTATCTGTATAAGAATATCGGTGGTAATTGAAGTTGGCCATTTATTTAATGCAATTTCTGAATTCAAAATTAAGTTAAATTAGTTACTAAATATACTATATGTTTAGGTTACTTATACTTTTTATAGAATTCTATTTACTTTCGTTTTATTCGAATTATATTCATCAGTAATATATATTAAAATAAGTAATTAATATTACTTACGGGAATAAAACCAAGGTCAGAGTTTTCTATAACTAGTTTTATTTAACATCATATTTAAGTAATTAAAGCTTTATTAAAATTTTCCTTAATGATTCCTACTCCTGTGTCGTACGATAATAAAAAACATATCTAACAACTATTTATTGTACGAAATATGTAAACATTTCTAAAGAAAGTGCATAATTCTATCATATGATATAAAATTCAGAATTTGTCGAATATGTAGGGGACAAGTTATGACTTATTAGCCCCCCCGTTCCGAGGGCTACCAAAAATTGTTTGACATCTACATTAACCTAGGCACTGGTTCATAAAATTACTTTACTTTCCAGTAACCTAATTAATGCCTAAATATCACAGCATATCACAATCGGTTTAATAGCACCTGTAACGATGAAAAGTCTGCCACATAGTCGTTAAGGGAGGGAAAATTTTATCACCGCGATGTAGAAGGCTTTGATTGAATGATAGCGCCATCTCTCCCGTCTGTTTGCAATATACGATTCCTGAAAGAACCCCATTACACAATATTTCATAACTTTGTGTCGTATTTAATTCACCTATAAATAACAAACGAAACTGCATACATTTTATGATAATCTCTCTACATATTGTTTCAGACAAGATATTGTATTGAAATGTATGTATGAAATTAATTCCATTTTCCCTGAAATAATGTTACTTTTAATTTTAATTCAGACTACCTTTATGTAGAAAGCTTCAGGATATGGAACGTAGTTAAACAACTGGTTTATATTTATGAACCAAAGATTTTAATTTATTTACAAATACTCATCTTTGTAAACACTAGTCATAAAAACCATTTTTTATATTATATGTTTTATATATTCTTAATTTTTCTTTTGTTTCAGATACACCGTATACCGTGGATAATATAATGAGAGCTATTTCTCCCAACATAAACAGTTACAGATTGAAATGAAATAACTGATAATAAAAAGTGATTTTAATATATTATTATATATGTTTTTATAACAATAAATAAAAAGTATTTTTGGTCGTATGTTTTGGATTTATTTCTACTCTGTAATAAAAAAACTAGTTAATAAGTTAAAAAAAGTCACGTACGTTTATATTAATTGGTATTTTTATTCATATGACATACCTATTTAATTAATCATAATATATCAAATAGGAGTCAGCGGTGGCCTAGTGGTCAAAAGGACCGCCTTTCATGGATGAAGGTGCGGGTTCGATCCTGGCAAGTACCAATGTGATTTTCCGAGTCATATGTACTTTTTAAGAGTATTTCGACACCACTGATTAATGCATTCCCAAAGAGGGTTGATGTCAGGCAGGCGGCTGGTCGTAAAAATAATTAGCTAAAACTATTCACAACATGTAAGGCAGACCCTGCCTAAATCTGGGAAATTGCCAGGAAGAAGTAGAAGAAGTTATATTGATATAATCATATTTATTTACATTAATGTAAAGTATATATGTATCGTATCGCGATATATTTATATAATTCTAGTCGTAAAAAAAAGCAGTCAAAAACATTACAACAAGTCATTCCTTACATGAGCACTTTGGATCTTAATTTTTTTTGTAACGATAACGAAATCTGTTCAAGCTGTACTAAGTACTCAAGTTATTTTTGACGATTTATTTCAAACGCCAGAATTGGATTTAGTATTATAAATCTTAATATGACACATCAGATATTAATATTTTATCAAAATGTATTTATTATACTATAACACATATTTGCTAGTTTAAGACAGTATGAAGTGTGAAATATGCGTGTCTTATTTTACACACGTCTCTATAACAACATTTTCATTTTATCATTTTGTGAGAATTAAGATTTTTTTCAAAAATACAGATAAAAGAGAAATAGATTTTAAATTTTATCTTGAATATAAAATTACATACTCCTATATTTGTCCTCTTTTCAGTTACTTAATAACCCTTATATCTAAACACTGAGCCTTTTTTTATGCCGCAGGGAAACTATATTTTTCGAAATTGTGATAGTCTGTCAACATTACTCAAAATCATTACGAATTGTAGTCTTTATGTTATTCTGATGTCCTACAAATCATACCGTAAAGTGTCACTCAAATATGTTCAGTAGTTTCAAAGAGAAACAAACATACACATACATCCATACTCACAAAATTTCGCATTCATCGCTGCTGATAGTTTTTTTTTCCATTCTCCCGCTAGTAGGAATTACAAATATAAGAAATTATTTGAAATTATCGTAAATAGTGATTGTAATAAAACGGTATTCTGTTTTATAAAACCATCCTAGTTTCGTTCTAAGATACTTCAGGTTCGGGTTTAAGAAGTCAGTGGTGGCCTAATGGTTAGAGGGCTCGCCTCTCGTTGCCGAGGGCGCGGGTTCGATCCTGGCCCGGGCAAGTACCAATGTGATTTTTCCGAGTCATATGTACTTTCTAAGAATATTTAGACATCACTGATTAATGCATTCCCAAAAGAGAGTTGATGTCAGGCAGGCGGCCGGTCGTAAAAAAAAAATTGCCAAAACTATTTACAACATGTAAGGCAGACCTTGGCTATAGCCGGGAAATTGCCAGGTAGAAGAAGATACTTCGGGTTCACCGTTTTCCTGACACAGATTTTAATAGTAAATGCTGTTTTACAATTACTGTAAAACGAGTGGTATTCTGCAGTCAAAAATATTATTTTAGCCTGTGAGTATGAAAAACGATTTTCACATGATTTGAATAGTCATAAATTGTATTAATTGAAACGAAACTAATGTTTTTCGGATTATCCTACGCGTATTTTATTATTGTAAAAACTATAATATACTACCTTTTGGGTACATATATGTATGTAGTATCATTCAAATAAATACTCGCGAAAGTCATGGGTCTGATTATGTATTTATTACCTTATGTCACGTTGCAACAAGAATTTTCTATAAAATTTAATTTTAGTTTTTTTTATGGAAAGTAGACGTAAATGAAAACAATTCTATGAACTAAAAAAAATAATGTAACAAAACTATTAATACCTAATATTCATAACAAGAGCTGATAAATGTTTATTGCTGTCTTTCTTTTCAAATTTTCCTATTTTTGTGGCACGGATACCACAGAACCATACAAAAACCAACAACATAATCAATAAAGAAATATAATTTATTTATTGTTAGTATCAGAATATTAAGATATTTATTTTATAAAACTTCTATGAAAGTAGGATGAAAAAGTTTGTCAACAATATATGCTCATAATCTTTTTTTCCATTACTTTATAGTTCATAATTGTTTAATTAAATAGATTAGGTTACTGAGAGTCGACTTTTTTCAAAGGCCATCTATTTTACAGTGGGAAATAAGATTTCTAAAACTACCCCGCCTACTACGCTTATGAAAAAATGAGAAATAAAGAGCCTTAGCTACTTCCACAAAAATTGGTGCAAATATTATTAGCAACGTTAATTGAATACAAAAATAATGTAAGATGATATTTTTACAATTTTATAGTTTGAAATTACATTTTATTCTAAAAATCATTTACTTTACTATGTACTATTACCTATTTAAAATTTTACTTTACCTTTCTTTATGAAAAAGTTCAACACCCAATTTTTATTAAAAGATTAAGTCACTAGAAAAGAGGAGCTTTTTGAAGTAAAATTTCTTATGCAACTTCCAACAAGGTTGCGTAAAATGTTTAACGATCGTGAGTGGAGGGGAGGGTAAAAAGAGACAATGCCTTGCCCTCGAGCCCGTGCGGGCAATCAATTGTAACTTATAAGTAATGTTAATAAAGTTTGTCTTAAAGAAACACTAAAAATTGCTTAAAAATCAATTTCCACCTGTCTCGTAGTGGACACTATGGAGCCTAATTTTCGTTGAAATTAAACCCAAATATCCTATACTGCTTTAATTATTAGAAACGTGTACAAAAGTTCGAGTAACACGGCAAAATCGAAATGAATAAAATATGTAATATTACTATGTAGTCGGTAAATTTAAAACTGGTGATGAATTGAATATAGAAATATGAAGCGCCTGATTATAAACTACTTATAGCAGAAACGTTATTGCTCTTAGATGGCTGTAGGCGCGAACACTACCCCTTCCTGTTTAAATTCCAACATTATGAAGATTCACTTCTTATACGTAGAGGGAGACACGCATAATTATTTTTTTAAATTTATATACTAGAATTAATTTAGAGTGTTTTGGAATATTCTATGCTCGTTATATGATATTAATATTATTTTTTGTTTTTTCACACATTCTTGTTACGTACAATGCTATCAATTCTTATGTCTGGTAATTTAAGAATCAAAAAAGCATCATGAACTTACTCCATCACTTCAAATATCTAGTGTCTGATGTAACCAAAGAATAAAATTTCAATAAAAGTAAATTATAATTTAGGGATACCATTTTCTGATTGGTTAATAAGTCTAATATTTAGTTCAATACTTTTATAGTTATTAATATTATTGTTTCCGCATATCAGATTAAAATATAGCATATATATTCTTATGTGTATTAAAAAGTGGTTATTTCAATTCAACACATACAAATTTTATTTATATGCATATATTTGAGCATATTTTGAATACATGTAATTCTATGCTTTGTCAATATCTTTATTTTAACTCTTTATCGTTCTAGCTCCATTCATTCTTTATTTCTAAATAAAGTTTATTATAAATTAACATGATTGAATTATTGTAAATTGGGAAACATATTTTTATGAAATGGTCTAAATGGTGAATTGTTAAATTATCAATACAGACATTCTTTTTTAAAAGGCCAATTTCACGGTTCTTTTATCACTGTTTCAATATAATTTAGAAGGCTTGTAATTTCTTGGAGCGTAGTATAGTAACCGACAATGTGTGTTTCCAATCATGTTCGAGTTACAAATTCATATTTTTTCAATGTTCAGCGTTACTTCCAGTAATATCCTATAAATTGGCTGAAACCAGTATTTATATTTACAAATAAAAGTTAATACTTAAGTGTTTCCATTATAAAATTACAAGGTTCAATATTACAATTAAATTATAATCTTGAAATAGTTCTAAAGACTATAAATTATAATTAGTACATGAAATCATAATTAAACTTAGTTGAAAATAAAATAAGAGTTCGATAATAATTCGTTTACTCATAACAATTGTGTATTAAAACTTTTTTTGACCACCATTGATTTGTCGCTTCAATTAATAACACTTATTGTATGTATGCATGAATATACATAATTAATAAATAAATCAATACTGAGATTTAAAAAGGGTTTTTTAATACAAAATAACATCAAATTATTATTTTGTTATACATAAATATTTTATTTAATGGTTTGCATCTAACAATTCTTTGCAATCATGTTACTACAGAAACTTGCAAGTCCTTAAAGAAAAATATACCGTTGATAGAAAATTAAAACAGTATACTGAATATTAATCTATTTATTTATTTCATCGTAAATCCTGCTTAAATTATTTTGTATATAATGTTGTGAGTTTATAACAATATTTAATTATTGTCATAAATGTGTTTGAAGACTAAATACAGTTGAGTGTCATTCCATTCCCGGTGGTAACGGCTCTATGGGATTTGTACCAGAATAAGGAACATCCTGGAAAAATACAGTTAAATACATCAGAGAAATGTTATAAAACTTCAAAAATATAGGAATTTTCAGTATATATTCACACTATTTTGTATGTGTGATATAATTTTAAATTATTTGAGAGATTTTTAATGAAATATATGTTCTTCCTTAAAGTTATTTGTTGTAGTATAATGTTTGATATTTTCATTAGTAACTTTAGATATTAATAATAACATAATTAATAAAACTATGAGACGAAACATACATAAAGACACATAAATGTTAAATAATTTATTTGCAATTTTATTTTCATAATTTATTGCAAAATAAATCAAATTATAACTATATAATCCTTATAGTTAAATAAAAATAGTATTATATTATAGATGTAATACCACTAGAAGACAATGTAATACTACTAAAATATTTGAATTCATATCCGAAACTAAATCTAAAACATCAATACCTCAATACAATTATTTCTGAAAAGTAGACTTGTAACGCCATCTATTGACAATATCAGAAACTATCAACTAAGCAGTGACAAGGTTCAACGCCATCTATTATCAATATTTACAACTAATATACTCACAGGACACAAAGCCGTAAGGTGTGATGGTAGCAAATCCCTCGCCCTCGGCGGCAGTGCCCTTAGTGCGGGCCCAGCACGAGGTCCTAGTCGTTCAGCGCACTTCACCCAACCCTCCCAAGCCACTTTGTTGTTCCAAACCTGATGATGAAGTAGAAAATGTTAGAAGTCGTATAAGCGTAGAAGTTTTAGTAGTAGAGCCTAGTAGTACTCATGTAACTACAGATCGAACATGGGCTGGCTTGAATGGGTAAATACCACCCTCTCATAGAAGATCGACGTGAAATAGCCTTTAATGGCTGCGTTTCGTCCGATGAGTGAGTAGATTGCCCTTACCCTATTCCCACCTTTTCATGACATTACCTTATTCGCACCATTTACTATTCCTAAAAAACTATTTTTTTCAACGCATGCGCACCAGAGATGTTGTGGATATTCATGATCGACGGTGGCTACTGTCCATCAAGTAGGCCGTCTGCTCGTAAAAAAATAAAAAATTAGCTAGCAGCTATATTAAAAACTAACCTTTACTTGTAAAAATGATAAATAATTAATTGAAATCCTACTAATATTATAATTGCGAAAGTTGTGAGTGTGTGTGTGTATGTTTGTTACTTCTTCACGCTCAAACGGCTGAACCAATTTTGATAAAATTTTGTATACATTAAACTGACGTCCAGGAATAATACATAGGCTACTTTACATCCCGGAAAATGTTCGACTTTTCTTCATATAAGCGAAAAACCATATTTACTTACTCGAGAACTCAACTACTAGCTAAGACGACATTATCGCTGTTGCGACATTATTGGGTATTGCCGCGGACGGAGTCGCGGGCAAAAACTAGTACAGAAATATATGTTAATACTCGCCTCTCTCTCACACAGGAGACATAGTATATTGAGTGCTAGCGGCGCTAGTGAGGGGTGAAGGGTCAACGCTTGTAGGACAGAACGCATCATAAGCACAGGCGTCTGTTGCTCCTCAGCCAAGCGCTGGAGAACTGACGACAACACCTGACAATAGATGGAGACACTTGTATTATCTTTATAGTATATATAATTCTTCTGTGAGTGTGTATGTCACTGAACTTCTCTCAAACGACTGGACCGATTTTGATGAAATTTTTTGTGTGTGTTCAAGGGGGTCTGGGAATGGTTTAGATTCACAATTTTGTCCACTGGACAATGTTTTTTTCAATTAATTTTTAATTTATTAGTAGTTGTTGATACAAAAGTTTTTTTTTGACATAAGATTTGACAACTAACTAATATGTCAATCATTCGGTCGCACTTCAAGACACGTAGATTTATGGCTTTAATAGGTAAACTCCAAAAATATAAATAAAAAAACGTAACAGATATTTCTTGATTATAGGGCGATACGAAGTTCGCCGGGTCTTCTAGTATTTCTATAGTATTCTATAGATTTATGATCACTACTGCCGCTATATTGAGACACTTGTAATATATTTCTATAGTAATTTATAATTAATGAGATCTAAGTCTTTCGCGACTATTCATTTAAATAAAAACAATATTTTCGGATTACTACGTATATTTTATTATTTTAAACTACATACTCCCGTCGTTTCGGTTACTTTGCAAACCGTGATCACTAAGACGAGGGGAGAATGAGAGTTAAAAGTAATGAAATAATGCATAGTAATCTGAATATATAACTTTCATTTAAATGTATAGATTGAATTAATAGGACTAACTAGTATACTAATAAAAATTTAGAATATGATGTTAATATTTCAAGACAGAGTTTTGTCTAGAATCAGTTATAGTATATTTAATATTAATATTAAAATTAATCTTTATATAATAAAATATAATTGCATACCTCCTGTGTATAAGTGTTCTTTTCAGCGAAACATAAAGCAGTTGCTTTGATAATGTACTTGAGATCGGCTTTGCTTGGGTCTATAAGATGAAGAGCTACTAGCAGTTCTTCAGGAGAAACTGAAAAAATATATTAAATTAATTAATTAATACATATTTTTGATAAAAATGTCAGCCAATTAAATGTTCTAGTAGTATACAGAATATTAAAAACAATATTCAAAATTAATGCTTTGTTTCAAAATTAATTAAAATGAAGATTTAAATAAATTAAGGATAATAGTTTTATATATACTTACATACTACATCTGGAATATTTGTAGTTCATTAGTGCTATTAGTTTAAGTTTATAAAATATATACACTATGTCCATATTAAAAATTTTAAGAAATATGTTTTACTTTGATCATATTAAATATTAATAACATACCCGGTAATTGCTCTTCATTGGGATTCTGCAGACCAAGTAATTTATTGAAAACTTCTTTCACTACAATTGGATTTAATTTGATCAACTTCGGCAGAGCAGCCAAGATCTGAAAATAAATGGAACATAAAAATATCATATACATATGTATATATTGTTTCCTTCAATTTCCCCATTTGTCTGTCTTTTGTATTTTCTTACCTAAAATAGTGAACTGAATTTAATGAGAATTCTTAAGCAAATAGATAAGTCGTTGGAGAAGGAATTGTGCTATGATTTGTACATCCTCAAGAGAAAAGAAATGCTTGTAGCAAGAAATGCATACAGACAACGAAAAACATTACCATATTCTATTTGAAATGACAGTTGCAAGAAACAATGTCCAAAACGGTATTTAGTCGTAAACAGTTGTTAGTGTATCTAGTTGTAAATAGTTGTGAATTATTACCTCTTTCTTGGTAAGTCCATTGAGCACAGGTATAAGGAACCGTACATCTGAAACGCGGGTCGCGTACAGCTCACGGACACGAGATACTAACTCGGGGCTCGGAGGAACTGGAATATTGTTAAGAAAATACTTAAATATATAGCATTATATAAATATAATTATTAAAAAACTGTAGGTAGACATATTACACATAATTCTACTCAGTTTTGTTATTTTGCAACTATATAATTGGGAATAGGTGTTGTATATAGGCCTAGATTGAAAGCCTGCGTCTATATATTTATATGTATAGTGATTATTATGAAACTTTATGGTCACATTCTGACCTTTTACAGAAGAAATGAGTACAATAACGTGTATGTGTGTGTGTGTGTGTGTGTGTATGTGTGTGTGTGTGTGTATGTGTGTGTGTGTATGTGTGTGTGTGTGTGTGTGTGTGTGTGTGTGTGTGTGTGTGTGTGTGAATGTGTGTGTGTAAGTGATGGGGATAAGTACATTTATCGGTGAGCACGTGCACGATTCTAGTCAGTAGTGTCTCAGCGCCGCGCGGACACGCGTCCAGTAGTGCTACTAGCGCAGGTGATAAGTGTCCGGAAGGTTCGGACGCGGCTAACGCTCGGACGGGGACTTCAAGTTGACGTAGCACACAACGCTTGGCTTCAGCACCTGTAGTGCCATACACGCGAGCTATCTCGATAATCACGTCTGAAACAAGAGGAATTACATACATTAAAATACTAGTCATATGTACTTTCTAAAGTCAGTGGTGGGCTTGTGGTTAAGGGACCCGCTTCTCGTTGCCGAGGGCGCGGGTTCGAACCTGGCAAGTACCAATGTGATTTTTCGGAGTCATATCTACTTTCTGAGAGTATTTAGATATCACTGACATACGGTAAAGGAAAACATCGTGAGGAAACCTGGACTTATAGTTTCACTATTATAAGTTTGAAATCACCAACCTGTCTCGAGCAAGCGTGGCGATAATTGCTCAAACCTTCTGCATGTGAGAAAGAGGCCTTGCTCAGCAGTGGGCTCTGATAGGCTGATGACATGTACTTTCTAAGAGTATTTAGACATCAATTTAATGCATTCCCAAAGAGGGTTGATGTCAGACAGGCGGTCGTAAAAACAATTAGCCAAAACCATTCACAACATGTAAGGTGCCTCGCTAAAGCTGGGAAATTGCCAGGTAGAAGCAAAATACTATGGTTTATTTGTAGGTGTACTATAGGAATTTATCATCAAAATTAAATCAGGAGTTAACAGTTTCCGGTAAATAGAGATTGGACTTGGAACTTTTATATCTAGTAAGATTTTTAGCCAACACTCAGAAAATCAGCTTTACCACACACTTTGATTTTAATATTTTAACTCATTTCATATTTCAACAAACGCAATAAAAATATTATACATAGTCATTGACAAACTTATATAAAAAAAGGAAGTTTGTTAACTTTATATCAACCGATAAATAAAATATATGAAATAAAAATATGTACCCATATATGTTTAGTTTGAAGTATTATTAAGAGAACAAATAATAGCGCGATTTACATATAACATTAAATCTTCATATTTATTTAATATTAATCTCACCTTCCTTCTCCGGGAACAAAGCCATTACCAAATTAAGGCACATTTTATACAAGTCATCCGACCAGGGTCTGCTCGTGTGTCTGTTCCCATATAACTCTTGTGGCGGCGTTGATAGCGATATAAACCCGAGATACAACATAGCGTGTTTCTCTATAACCTTTTTAGCGGCGTCCGTACTGTTTTTGTAGATTTTTATCGAAGATTTCAGCGCTATATTCCGAATTTCCTCGTTTTCACTCACTGGAAAAAATAATACAATAATATTAGGATTAATGACATATTTCTTGAATATTTTTTGTGTGTATAATTAAATAAAATTTAAGTAATGTTCGGCAAATATGAAAAAACATATATTAGCATTACTTTCAGATAACTATATACTTAGACGTATATGTTAATATTTAGCAGTTTCAATTAAAAAAACAACATGTTAATCTCACAATTATCTTTCGTTGAAGTCGATTAAGACGTAATAATATTCTTATACTCACACACATGACACACTAGGGCTGCAACAAATTTGTGCGCTCTAGGCGGTCGTAGCAGACACAATTCTTCCAGCAGTTCCAAGGCTACCGTAGCAGATTTTTCCTCAGAGACTAAATGTTTCAAATAATCTACAGCCTCATCAGTGACTACGGGCGCTTCAGAGTAAACTTTTCTCAGTAAAACGTCCTTACTACCCTCCATTAAAGGATCACCTCTTTCAGATATTTGCGTGATCAAAGCACATAGCAGTTGATTGTAGTTTTCGTCGTGTTTTTCGTGTAATTTCGGCTGTAATGTAACTGGATGCCGGTTGAAGCCTTGCATGTACGCGTATTCTTCGTATAGCCAGGATAAGGCTAGATCGATTCTATTTAATGGATCTTCCAGTATATAGTTAAGGACCAGTTCTCGTATTTCCGGTGTGTAGCTTGAAGCGAATATCGTGATGAATTTCGTTCTTATTTGCGCTGCTCCCCCGATTATACTCTCTTTTTCTGCTCGCAATATTCTTTCAACAGCTTGAATCATGAGTTTTTCTTTAATTTCTTTGGGTATAGGTCGTGTTAGTTCTTGGAGTTTCAATAGTTTAACTTTCTGTTTTAATTTCGGTATAGATGGCGTTGGTGGAGCGACTGGTTTTTCTTTATCCTTATTCTTTCTCTCTTCTTCTTTGAGATGTTCCTGTCTCGTTTCTTCCATCAGTTTCGATACAGCATTTTCTATTTGCTTGTCGACTTTAGTGGACTCCTGTAGTTTTGCCACCGCGTTCTTTAGATTAATTTTATCGTCATCGTCTCTTAGTAATGGTATTTTTGTTGTTGTATCCAAAGACTTTATGGTGGTAGGTATTGGCAATGGTTCATCTTTGATCAATGCTACCATCATTTTGGCCAGATTTTGCTTCTGCACCTTGCTTCCAGCATTTGGTATAGGTTTATATGCTAAGATAAAACTCGTGGGCATTTCAGTAGGCAGGTTATTAGTTAGGGTTGTCACAACCAGATTGACGACATTTTCTAAGCTATTCAGACCATCTAAAATAGATTCTTCTGTACAGGATGCTTTAGTTACACTCTGTTGGCTGCCCTGCTGGCTGTTATCATCGTCAAACAAATTGAATTCACTTCTGCTATTACTATTGCTATCACTTCCTAAGGTACTCTGAGGCGAGTCAATCCTGAATCTTTTCGCTGGATTTTCTGAAGCCCTTAATTCTCCCAATCGTTTGTTCCTTCTGTCTCTGGGTAGAGCTTTATTTATTTCTTGAGGCGTCATTCCAATGTCTACAAGCAACTGTGTTAATTGCGGCATCATGTCATATGAGGAGGGATGTTTGACCAGTATAAGTAATTGCATCTTAAGGTGTTTCCGCACTGAATTCACCTGTGACTGTGACAGTGTAGGTGGTAGCGTTGTGTGCAGATCATTTAAAGCCTTCACCACACTCGACATATATTTAGGTCTGAGTTTCGCCACTAAACATAATGTTGTCATACAAGCCATGAGGTTTACACTTGATATGTGTTGAGAGTTGTGGAATTTTAACAATAATTGGAAGATGTGGCTGGAAAAAAAGAAAATTAAGATTAACAATTTAACTTCATGAATAATAGAAGAATATTACATCGGACCACTTAATCTTAATTTAGAAAAAAAAAATTAGTATGTATATTTGCTTTCTAAATGAATGAAAGTTTCTTCTACTAAAATTATATAGAATTATAGATAGTTAAAATGATTAGTTCTATATTGCTTACTCGGATTCTTCTTCCATAGCCTTTCTGTTGAGAAAAGGCAGATTTGACGGTAAGCAGTCCAAACTAAAGTCATCGTCATCATTTGTATGAGGACTTTGAAGTACAACAACCTCCTCCAAGAACTTGATCGAATGTGTCCTTATACCTTCATTATCACTATCTATCATATTGAGAATAAGAAGCTGAAATATATTTTCATATAATTAACATGTATAAAAGTACCATTTTCACATTAAATAGGCTTCAAATCTGTAAAATCCACTCAAAAATCAAGTTAAAGCAAGATAATCAATAGTTAAATACTTTAATTCATTTAATTATACATGAATGTAATTTAAAATAAAATTTCAACCTTTAATTCGGATAAATGTTCCCAAACATATTGCATGTCTTTCATTTCCGAGGTTCCTTTGCATATCCAGAGAAGGACATTTCTGTAAACCAAGCTGGCCGCCTGAATTGCTCTCTTCTGTACCGCAATAACTGTATCTATCACCAGTAATTGCAGCTGACCAATTATTTTAGGAAGATACTCCGGATATGATTTGCTTGAAAAATATTAAAATATACATTCAACTTTGAGCTCATAAAAATATTGTCGAGAGTAACATGTCAATACTGATTGTAAATTTTTCATTTATTATATATTAAATTAATTAAAATTGGACAAATTTGTTTATGAATTTCAAACTACTGTATGGTATATCAGCGACTTTGGTTTTGATATATGAATTGAAACCTACATCTATATATTTCTTGTAAGATATAGCACTGTTTAAGTTGATATATAACTTAAATGTTATATTTGGACGGAAAATTTTTAATTTTTTTCTTCTGATATTTTATTAAGGAATCAATGGTTTAAAAGCTATGAAACAGGCATGAATTTAAATCCAAAGTTGAGAAAAATTTCATAAAGCTTATGTATCATTATCTAAACTGTATCTATGACATAGTAAGTTGGAAAATCATTTTACTTTAAGTAACTTCGTCATCACTGTGAGCCTTACCTTAATTCTTCGATAAATGCTACAACCTGCCTTTTAACATCAGTAGACTTATCACTGACGCAACTAAGAATGTTATCCATATAAACTGGCACCATTTGTGGTGCTTGATGTAATAATACCTCTATGATTTTTCGCAACAAATTCACCTTTTTGTTGCCCTCCGACATTCCTGCCTCGTTTATCCATTGTACTAGCTAAAATGATAGGGAAATAAAACAGCGTTTAGAATAAATAATAGTATATTTCTAGATTTTCAATAGTATTACAAAACAAAAGCTTCGTTCTAGGTTACAACCTGTGTTTGCGCGGTACCGCCACTGCTTGGGTGATATTTACTCGACATTATTCTAGTATATATTCTCAAACGAACATTGCATATAAAGTAACAGTTAAGAGTTATATATTGTAATTTTCATATTACAATAAATTATAGTTTTAAATATACTAAATAACTTCAAACAGCTAACTTCAATATAATTTTAGTTTAAACAGATAATAAAAGTAAACGTCACAGCTCACATCGATTTTAGTGGGTCACTTCCACAGACAAAATAATATTAAGTAATCGATTATTTTATTCGATTATCATTTGATATTAATTCAATGTAATATATTGTAAAAATAAATAACGTACTAAAATGTTTATAGTAGTAAATAAATTTGTCACTTATAATATATGTCACATTACAAACTTTGTTCTTATTGTTTTTAATACAAAAGTAGTCTTTAAATTTTTTATATACAATAAATATTAAGATCGAAGAATTTATTCAAAGAATTGTAAAAGGAATAAATTGTTCAATCTACCTTTTAGTAAAAATTTAAGTCATACTAAAAAACCTTATTCAAAAGAAAAAAAAAAGATATTTTGTTCTATTATATAGAAATATTTATTTTATCGGCATTTTTAAATGTGCTAGAGTAATAATGGTGCTCGTTGTGGCATATACAAGTTCTGCATCTCAAATTCACGGGGTTTATTCCGTTCTTCCATTTGTAAAAACGTACTCCTTACTACTAGCAGGCAGTAGAAAATAATTACTGAAAAATGAGATATAATTACAATTTTTAATAATTGCAAAGTGATTTGGATTTTGTCAGAAACAAATGTCTTCTTTTATATGGCAATCAATATGAATATAACAAAAGGGAGTAACAGAGTATTAAGATTTAAGGTATAAACAATGTAACTTTAATTGGACAGACTCCCATTAGACTTTTATAAAATGTATATATGTGATGTAATAATATGTATATATTTTGGAACCTGAAAAAAACTATCAACCAAACACATTATTTTCAAATATTACAATAATATAGATTGAATAGAATTGAATTTGACACTAGTGTGGCCATCTCTTAAGTCTTTCATCATTGAGCAAATGTGTGTAAACAATACTTACGGCACCACTTTAACAATGCAATGGTGGCGATAAAATGTAGGAGAACTGTTGATATAACGACTGTTGCACTCGCTAGTACTAGCACTAACCACGCACAATACACGTAGTACTTCAAAATGATTATTTTATTCTGAAACAATCGTTTTTTCCAATTTACTTGTACAAAAGTTTTCTACAACTCCTTGATTTATTTCATATACTCTTTTGAATAGAAGTATTTTAATCTGAATTCATTACGAACTTTTTAATAGTTTTTACTTTTTAATTCCAATTAATAGTTTTATTTCTAACATTCATTCTTAACTGTGTTCCCGTATAAAAAGTGAGCATTTAAAGTAATTTATCTGTATAATAAAAATGTTAAACATTTTTCTGTTATTGAATATGAGAAAACATATTATACTTACCAAGTGTACTCCTATAATAAGCATTACATTTATTACTGTATAATATAAATATACAAACAGTATATAACCGTGAGATATATACAGGCTGATCGTTATTCTGTCATACTCTTCCTTGCTGTGTTCTTGGTCGGGAGGGTTTTCGTTATTCTGGACAAATGTTATAACCCTGAATAAGGAATATGATATCCCGCTTATACTTAACAGAGAAAAGACCTGTAAAAGATAAAATATCTTAAATACATACTCTTTTTACACAAGCAATAATCATTAACATTAGTCATGCAGTACCGTTGTAGAAGGCGGGCGTTTAAGCATAATAAATTGAGTCAAATATAATAATCATTTAGTTTTGCGATAAATTAAGTAAAGATCTTATAAATATATCATTATATATTGTTTTTCTACTTACAATAGATACGTATCCAATAAGAAGAGAGCCAGTCCTCAACGGTAAACAACAACAACACTTCTCGAATCTTGGCAAAGGAAATGCCATTATTATAAATGCCACACGATAAACAAGGTCTTCTTTAACGATAATAGAATAAATATATCGTGGAAATAACTAGTTTTTTGCATTAAAATGCCTAATATTTGAGGTTAAGCTGTGGTTTTGTGTTGCTAATGCACAATTGTGTATACTTTTATCTGGTTATCAGATTAGTGGAGATAGCGTTTGACCGACGACTCAATGATAAAATTTGTACACAGATTTTTTTATATTACAAACTTTTATTTATTTATTTATCACATAAAAAGACTGTCAAGATGCAAGTTATTGATTCTTATATAAAAACTTGCATACAAATTGTTTTCTTAGCAACTTTTTAATTTTAATATGAATTGTTTTTGTTTTTATCATTTGTCGTATAATATAATATTTTGATTAGATTATAAATTAAAGCAAAATTTATAATCATCTAAACGGGCAAATTACCAATGTTTTATTACAGGGCAAAGTCAATGAATAATTAATCAATACTAATAGTATTGTTAATAGCAGTACACTTCATCAGTCCATTGTATTTTGTTATCTATTATTTGCGAATAACACAGTTATAACTAGACGAACAGGCACAGACACAGTGTACTTTGCAAGTGGAGTGACGTCAAAGAAGGCCATATTGTGTCCGTCAGTCAGATTTCGTCCTCTCTATATATATATATATATATATATATATATATATATATATATATATATATATATATATATATATATATATATATATATATATATATATATATATATATATATATATAGCGTGAAAACAAGATACGTAAACACGTGTACGATAAATTGGAGTTAAGATTACATTGCTCACTTCATTGTATGCGTTTATGAATGAAATTATTCATGTACTTTCTATTAGCAAGAGGCACTTGTTTAAAGCTTTCTATGAATTGATTAGAAATCATATCCTTACAATGACACGAAAGGATCTATTGTACGGTTTTTTAACACGTTTATATTAGCTTGGGCTGTATGTATGTATATATGTAACGGAATCCTTGAGCACGATTTTCACCGGTTTCTAAACATCTGATTAGCTTGAAACATTGCATATGTTTCAAGGACCAATGACAATGAAATAATTCGGTAACAATTTTCCATAATCCTTGTTAGGGCCGCCAGGATTAATATATTCTTTTCATAGATCCTCTATGAGAGTGAAAGGGACAGAGCTAGTGTGCTATCTGCGCATGTCCACAAAAAACTAATTGATAAATCGTAATAAAAAATATGAAATAAATATTAATAACTAGCTTATTTTTTTAAACTTATATTTTTTGTCATAATATTATAGCTTAACAAACTTTTACGCACATTTACAAAGACTGTACAGATTACTTGTGGTTAAGAAATAAAAAAGGACTTTATTATTGCGTAATTGAAAGACTGTTAAACAATAAACATTTTTTTATTTCATCACATTTCATACGCATGTTGGCTTTTCCAACTCGTTTTGGTCTTTGCTACCTTGTGTTAATTCCACGTAATAGCTGTAAACGACGACGATGGAATACAACTCCAAAACTGTAACAAAATACTATTATAAAGTACATTGAATGTCTATTGAGAATAATAGAAAATTGTACTCACTAACAAAAATCATCATTCCCAAATACCAGCCGATGAGAATTTTGTGAAATAGACAAGCAATAAACAGACCAACGATCTCTATTATCCAGGTCAGAAAACGACAAAGTAGGTAGTGGTTTAACAAATGCGGTTTGTTCTGCAAAAAAGAAATGCTGGAAATTATTGGCCCAGGTCATGGTTTCATCGCAAATGATGGCAGAAAAATAGGCACTTTAATTAAAATAGAATAACTGATTTATTTGGTACAATGCCCACAAAGAATTGTTACAAAATCCTTACTAAATCCTAAATATCCTTACGTTTTCAAGGTTGCTATAAAGGGTAAAGGAACCGAAACGACGGATTATGTAGTTAGAAAATAATTAAATACGAGTAGTAACCGAAAATTTACTTTACATAACAGTGCACGCGAAAATCTTAGATATCATAACATGATTATATTTATCAGTCTTACTTATAAAGTAGGTCAGATGGAAAGGAAATGCTCTGCATATTTGATTCTTTATGGCAACCGATAATTAAAGTTTTCTTAAAAGCGATTGATGTACGAAAACTGGCTAAATAAAGCCTTAATTTACAGAAATTAAACTTACACTGATCAAGCCGATCCCCAGATGAAACATCGATATAAAAATGACAACTTCACATATTAGTAATATTAACAGGCAGTAGTATATGACATAAATGAATTCTGAGTTATACGATGGACCTTTCACAAGCCACGCGCCGAATGGTGACGCCTTGCCTATCAGTACTTCTAGAATTGCTGAACTGAAGAACACTATACAGAAGAGTGATCTTAACTGGAAATAGAAAGTAATATAATATTCATAGAGAATGTTCAAAATAAATATGAAGATAGAGAGTTTCTTTAAAAATATGGCTATGAAATAGTTGTAGTTAGACCTTTGAAATAATTCATTTAATAAATAGAATACTTTTGTATTTGAAGATAAATATCTTGGCTTTACATTGAATGTTTTTGAGAAGACTCAAATAAAACTATTGTTTCAAGTTTATAATATGTATTCTTCAGATCAAGAAAATATTGGAAAATCTTTTATATATAATTATATTTATATTGAATACCTATATATGTATATGCTTGCATTTAATTTAAGATACTTATTTATTATTATTTTATAATTTTATTATAGTAAGTTTGTCTTGAAAAGAAAATACACTATTCCCCAAAAAATATGTGGCCAAAGTGTCCTGGATTTCATTACTCAATAAAGTATAATACTTATTTTATTATGAGTAATTTCAAAACATTTCTTATGGGATTTATATAATTATATAATTCTAGTTTTTACCGTCGTCCATAACAAAATTAAAATCGAACCACAACGCAAAGAATACAATAAGAGGAATTGTTCTAATTTCGGTAAAATCACTTCAATATTAACACACATTTTATTTTAATATTATTTTATTTTAGAATTTCGTTACGTCATATTTATTTCGATTTTCGTTGTCATGTATGACAAAGATGAAAGAATAATCGAATACTTTTATCGATATAATACTTCTATTTATTTTTTAAATTATAACACCTAGGGTATATTTAAATAATAAATAAAATCTTTATTTTTAACATAATAAAGTGTAGATGTTGGGTTTCTTCTATTAGGTATAGGAATCTTTTAATTTTGACAATGGCGTCTTTCTTCGACTTTGAACTCAAAAAGAGGCATATCATAAGTTTGAAGTGGATGTCTCCTTTTGTTTGTGAGTATGTATCTGTATGTGGCCATAGTAACTCTCAAACGGATTGATATATTTGGATGCGGTTTCTGTCATTTGAAAACCCACTTCCTTACGATGGTTATGAATGGTTTAGCAATATGAGGGATTCGGCTATTTCCAGAAATTATATAAAATATTATTGATAAATAATTATTCGATTAAGGGCCTCAAGCGTGTCAGTATAATAGGTTCTTTTATGTCAAAGGTAGCAACCGAGCAGACCGTTGATGTGATGAGAAGTAGTTAGCGTCACCTATAGACATCCACAACATAAAAGATGTTGCGGATGTGTTGTCGGCCTTGGTTATTGAGGAAGCAGGGAAGGATGGTAATGTAGAAAGGGCAACAATCTCTCTCAATGATCGGATAAAATTCAGCCATCTAAGACTACTTCACGCCGATCTTCTGTACTGATATGGTAATTCCCCGTTCGAGACAGACCATGTTCTGTAGTAACTTGAACACAGCTAGAAACTTCCACCCTTTTAAATGATAATAATCAATCAGTGCTGTGTACGTCCGTAATTGGTATATACATCAGATAAATGTCAGTTTTAAATGTTTAGTTTTGAGTGTTTTATGTATATACTGTTGTTGTGCCATTCAAATAAATAAATACATGTGAAGGGTTTTTGTAAAATTAAATAAAATGTTGTCATTATTCTACATCAGTAAAATTAGGGAGTAGAGTATACATAGCTATACTTAATATGGAGTTTCCCTTTTGTATGCATCTACAAAGACATAGGCAAAAAATTTCAAAAGTAACTGAACTTTGAGCTTTGGTTTGACATGTGGCATTCCTGGATCATTGTTTTTAAATATTATTTGACAATAAAAATAGTATTTAAAAACAGATATAAAAAGACATTGAACACATTGGCATAATCGATAAGATATTTATTATCGCATAGAGAGAAGATAACTCCATACAATTAGTGAGGATTGTCGGATAAACAGCAAGTATTTTTTTAAATATAATTTGATTTTTCATGACTATGTCGAATTATTGGAGGGAATTAGTGTGTTGTAAAATCTTGGAAAGGATAAGAGTTGGGTAAGTAATACTTTGTCTATTCCCTTCAATACTACCCATGCGTGAAAGAAATCCTAAGTATGTATTTATAAATGGGCTTTTATTTATATGGCAATAAAATTGTTGGTTTTAGAAAATACAATAAATTAAAAGAAAATTGTACCCATTAATAAAATTGCTTGGGATTTTTAAAGCGCTTGTTAATTTACTATAAGAATATATAATATGGTATTGTTCCTACAAAAGTGTATTCTCCTCAATTTCTGTGAATTTTTAGTCTATAAAAGAAAATAAGTTTTTCGGATACTACAACTTTTTATTACATCGCTTCCAAATGACAAGGATGCCGCCGAGCTAGAGTCACAACTTAAATTTCATAAGCAGTTATCATTATTTTCGGTTTATATTTAAACTTCATATTCAATGTCAGAAATTTAATCGTTTTATATATCCTGTATTATATCGACGCTAATCTCGTGAAGTAGACTTAATTTTCTACCCAATTATCACAATATTATACCTATATATTTACTATTTATATATATTAACTACAGATGTTAATTACTCATATTTTGGGTGAAATATCGTATTAAGTAAGTAAGTAGATCGTAGATATGAATTAAATATTTTATAAAATTAATAGACTCAGATTAAATATTATGATAATAATATTGAAGAATTACGTTTTAGTTTTTTTTTAATATATGTAGTTTATGACGTCCATTATTCAGAATGCCTGCTAGTTTTACTAATATTACTTTATATATGTTCTTTAAATCTAAAAGGAGTATTTAAAGACATTATTTGACAGTAACATACGAGTAGCTTAGACACGAGAAAAACAAATGTATTTAAATTTATCGACGAAAAAGGCTGTATATTGTACGAAGTAACACGACGTTAATGTGCTTGCAATGTATTTTTTTTTATGTACATCATACGGGTTTCATTCCCCGTAATTCTGATGTCACACCGGCGAAGTTCTATTTGATTCATCTGAAAAAGTCCTATTTGAGCGTTTACAGTTAAAAATAGGTACAAAAAAACATATTTTTTTATTGGCATTTAAAATAAGTTTGACATGCATGTGACGTTAATTAATCGGTGAGAAATAATATGTTTTGCGTTTGCGATGGTTTGATGTTGGTAGATACTACTGGCGTTTTTAACACGCTTATATGTATTAGCTTGGGCTGTATGTATGTATGTAAAGGAATCATTGAACACGATTTTCACCGGTTTCTAAACATCTGATTAACTTGAAACTTTGTATAAGTTTCAAGGACCAATGACAATGCCAAAATTCGTTAACAATTTCCCATTATCCTTGTTAGGGCCGCCAGGAATAATATATTCTTTTCATAGATCCTCTATGAGAGTGAAAGCGACAGAGCTAGTGTGCGATCTGCGCATGTCCACAAAAAACTAATTGATAAATCGTATTAAAAAATATAAAATAATATTAATTACAAGCGTGGTGTTTCTAGTTTGTTAAACTAATATTTTTTATTATAAAAATATATAAACATTATAACACATTCAATCCACATCATTGCACGTCACAAATTTTAAATAAGATACAAATGAAAACGGAGTTTTTTAAAATCTACAATACGGTTGTTGAAATTAGTTTTATTTACTACATAAATTACATTACGCACGTCTGTAATAATTGCAGGATTAGATAAGTGACGTTTAATAAAAGTGGGTGTCAATAGATTATTTTATGCGTATTGACGAATACTCAGAATGACACAGCATTTTTATCTAAAATTAAATTACTTCTGTTTACACTACCAAAAATTTATTATTATAGGTGTATGGTTGCTGGATTTAATAACTTTTTCTATGCTCGTTTAACTGCAATAACAAAAAGAGAAAAATATACTTTAAGACCCAATACTGCTTGATTGTTATTCCACCTGAGACAAGGAGGATTGAAGCCATAGATAGTAAAGCATTTGGCCAGTTGTACCCTTCTTACCCTTGTATCGAAAACAAAAGTAGAAGAGAGTTTAGTTCGCTCAAGATTATACAGAATAACTGGGAAAGTATATCAGTTTTACAGAAGATCTCAACCAAATGTCGCTACATTCAGGTTATATCATGTTCCAAAAATCAAAATTTATGCGTCCCTATACAAATTCAATATCGCCCATAGAGCATCATTCGGTTATTTGAGCACCCGAGACGTACCCGACCATGTGTGAGTTACTTTACAAAATTTCTCGATGTATTGACTAGCGGGTAGATCTGCTTATGAGTTTATTTCTGGATTCTTACACCTGGCTGACTCACCAACAAGAAGTCCAGGCCTTGAAAGCTGCGACGGATGAAGTAACTCAGTTGGAATATTGCTCAGTTTATCTGAGCACCGACTCCTCCGGGCTGATTCACCTGTAAACAGTTTTTTTTATACTAAAGGGGTCAATCGAGCAGACGGCCTACCTGATGAAGGTTGTATCGTCGCCCATGGACATCCGCAATATAGTTTTGCGGATGTGTTGCCGCTCTGATTGCGGAAAAGGGTGAGGAGAAGGTGGGAAAGGGAGGGAAAAGGAAAGGGTAGAAAATGGGAAAGGTCAACCGGCTCTCTTACTCACCAGACGAAATGCAGCCATTACGGGCTACTTCACGCTTACCGTCAGTAAGAAGGTGATACTTCCCCCGTCGAGCTAGCTCAGGTTCGAGCTGTAATGCATCGGGGTACAGGCCCAGATGAAATATTTGGGCCTGATACTCGACAGTAGGTGGCGCTTCGGCCCTCATTTTAGCGGGCTGTCGACGCGCCTGTTGAAGACCGCGGGGGCCCTATCCTGGCTCCTCCCAAATCTTGGGAGACCCGGGAATCGATGCCGGCGATTATATGCCGGCATACTCAGAAGTATGGCCCTTTACGGGGCCCCAATCTGGGCGGACTCCCTCCATATGAGGGAAAACGCAGCCGCTTTCCGGAGGCCCCAAAGGGCTATTGCGCAGAGGGTGGCGAGGGCTTACCGCACGGTAAGCCTCGCGGCAGCGTGCGTTCTGGCGGGCACCCCTCCTTGGGAGCTCGAGGCGTGGGTGCTCGCCAGAGTCTACGAGTGGAGAGTGGAGCAGCGGGCGCTTGGCCAGCGCCCCAGCGTCGCTGAGAGGGGAGCCGTTCGTGAGGAGGCGAGGGACGCGGTCGTCCAGCACTGGACAGAGGACCTCGCCACCTCAACGTTCGGTCGAAGGACGCTGGACGCGATTGGGCCCGTCTTCAAAGACTGGCTCAGTCGGTCACATGGCTCCCTCTCGTTTCGTCTGGTGCAGGTGCTGTCCGGGCACGGCTGCTTCGGATCGTACCTGCACCGGATCGGGAGAGAGGAGTCCCCGTCGTGCCACCAGTGTGGAGATGCGGAGGACACGGCAGAGCACACCATGGAGGTGTGCCAATCGTGGGCCGTGCTCCGTCGTGCACTGGTGGCAGTGATTGGCAGCGACCTCTCGCTCCCTCGTGTGGTCACCGCCATGCTGGGGAGTGAGGAGGCGTGGACTGCAGTTGCCTCCTTCTGCGAGGACGTAATGTCACAGAAGGAGGCGGCGGAGCGGGAGCGCGAGGATGACCCCTCCACTCCAGAGCTCCGCAGAAGAAGGAGGGGCGGACGGCGGCGTCCACTTTCATCCGCCCCTGCGACGGCCAGAGATGGTCGTGCGCTCCGGCCACAACAGAGCCCTCCCCCACGAGGGGGGGCGTGAGGGGTCTGCCAAAAGGCGGGCAATCGCAGGCGGGGGGCTGGATGCAACCGGATTCCCAGCCCCCTGTCAGTCAGGCGAGGTCGGAGCGCCACTGGGTTGTTTTAGTGGGTATACCGGGAATCCTTTTCCCGGGGAGTCCCACATACCCCTCCCCGTCTCCCGACGGAGAGGGGATGCGTAAAGCATTTTTTCCCAGTGCGCACAAAAAAAAAAAAAAAAAAAAAAAAGGTTCGAGCTGTAATGACTTGACCATAGCTAGGCTTCTACCACATCAGATAGTTCTGGACTTTGTGCAGTAAATGAACTGACGCAGACGACGATACAAGGGTCGGTGTTATCTATTTCTCCTACACATCAATGATTTGTTCTCTCTAGACAGTATTCATTATTATTGTTAAGTTATATCTTATGCTCTTTTTTAATTGAAATCTTTTGATTTAGGGACTATTGTAAATATTTTAATTAATACCCAATTTTAATCGTTAATCTACAAATTAATGCATTTTTTATTTCTTAGATGCTTGCTAGTGATACTGTGTATTGTTTTTTTTTTTCAGGAATGAAAAGAAAACAGCGGTTAACTGGCCAGAGCTTGTTACATACTGCGGCTGCTGTACTTTATCGACTGGAATATTCATAAGATTAATTATAACTTTGGTAATTATTAGTTCATTTATATATTTTGTACTAAAGTAAGTTTTCTTTGAATATGATAAAACTAGTTCTTGATAGTTGGTTAATTATTATTAATGAATTATGTAAATATTAATATAGCTAATAATCCGCGAATACGAATTATTAATAATGAGTAGAAAAATATCTAAGAATTTTTTTGACTGAATTTTATTATTAAATAGAACTTATGTCTAAATTAAGTAGGTTTAAATTAACTCAATATATTATATTTTTAACACGCTTTTATTAGCTTGGGCTGTATATATGCATGTATGTAACGGAATCTTTGAGCACAATTTTCACCGGTTTCTTAACATCTTATTAACTTAAACTTTGCATATGTCTCAAGGACCAATGACAATACAATAATTCCTTAATAATTTTCCATTATCCTTGTTAGGGCCGCCAGGATTAATATATTTTTTTCATCGATCCTCTATAAGAGTGAAAGGGACAGAGCTAGTGTGCGATCTGCGCATGTCCACAAAAAACTAATTGATAAATCTTACTAAAAAAATATATAATAAATACATAATAGTTTAAAAAAACAAGCTTTTATAGCAAACCGAACTAAAAACTTTAAAATAAATTTTAAGAATAAAGTGTTTATATTACCGTAGCGAAGGTTTAACAATCAATCATAGTTAATTACTTCATAATAAAATTTAAATGGCTAATAAGCCATAAGGCCGCCTTTTGTTACATCGTTAGCTTTAAGTTTTTTTTTTTTTTTGTAATTGTCTTTATTGAAAGTGTGGTGTGCAAAAAAGTATTAAATAAATAAATAAATAAATAAGTTACAAACAGAATTACTAAATTCAGAGTGAAAAGCGTGGGGTGCATTTTACTACATTTTCATAATTCTCCACTCATCGATAGTTGGCAATAGAATGATTGTATAACCTTTAATATGTCAAGCACCCCACGACTTCTCACTCTGAATTGAATTAGGATAGCTATGGAGAATTGTATCACAAAAAAGTCTATAGATCATACAAGCTCCAATCTTTTACTCCCAGAAATAAGTATCGTTCTCGTTATGTTTAACGGGAAAAAGTCAGTTAATGGATAAAACTTCTCACAAAACTTTTAATCTTTCATATTGAGTAAAATTGACGAGACATTCATGCATTAAAACAGTTACTATTTTACTTTTAATACTTTTTCTATATCTTGGAGAAAAATAAGAAAAAACTTTGATTTATAGTCCAATTTTTTTATTTCTGAACGTATTTTTATTTGCGAATAATTTATTCAGTGGCTCGTAATCTATTTAACTCTATTTTTAATATCTGTAATCGTATTATTATTTTTTTTGACTTTATGTTTGTACCTACTCACTAGCGTTCCTCGAAGCAGAATATTTTTTTTATGTCAGCCATTAACGTTATTTAAAAGTGCTTTGATAAATGTATTTTCATTATCGCCTTGGATTATTGAAATGAACTCTTATTTCAGGTGTTTACTTCAATATTCATAGTTATAAATGGGATGATACTTGGATATATTTTGAAGATAAAAGGTACAATAAATGGAAACAACATAGTTGTTCAAGATGATATTTTGGGTTTAAATATCACCTACAGTAAAGACGAACCACCGAAATATCCACATACTTTTGATTTCATGGTATTATGTTACATATTTTGGCTGACCTACAAATCGATCTACGTAGTTGCATTGTTGTTCACTCTTCCTGTTTTCTTTAAGGTATGTTAAGTTGACAGCGTTTTAAAGTTGAATTAAAAGCAAAATGATTTTATTATAAAAAAACATTTGATATATATTTTATAGTACATATACATATCATATTGAAATGATTGAGATAACTAACACTTAAATAATCACTGCATATTGTTTCGTTATGTAAGGGTAATTTTTGATAATATTCAATACTAGCTTTCCGCCCGCAGCTTCTCCCGCGTGTAGATCGGTTATAACGAGTTTCCAAGAGAACATTTTAAAAGTCTGGGATAAAAAAAAATTCATTAAAATCAGTCCAGTGGTTTAGGCGTGAAAGCGTAACAGACAGACAGACAGACAGAGTTACTTTCGCATGTATAATATTAGTAGGGATAATACTTAACATTTTAATTAATACTATTATATATTTTATATAATACTATTATAGATTTCTGACCTGGACCCCCCAAGTAAGCGAGGTGAGCAGGAAGGTGTTTGCATCTATCGGGTCTCTTCGCAGATTGCGAAATTTTCTACCGATACCAACTAAAATTGTGCTTGCACAATCTCTCCTGCTACCGATTCTCGATTATGCTGATACCTGTTATCTGAATTTAAGTGAGGAATTGCTTAATAAACTTGAACGCATCCAGAATCTTTGTATACGGTTCATATTTGGACTTCGTAAATATGACCATGTTTCAGAATTTCGCGAAAAACTCAAGTGGCCCTCAATCCGCCTTCGCAGGAATACTCACATTCTTTCCCTATTATACAATATCCTATTTTATCCTACCTCTCCCTCATACCTTAAAAAGCGCTTTGAATTCCTGAGTGATTCTCATTGTCGTTCATTGACGATAAGTTGATTTTAAAAATCCCCTCCACTATACATCCTTCTATTCTAAATCCTTTTCTGTGGAAGCTGTACGGCTCTGGAATTCCTTACCACTTACCATACGGCGTGCTCAATCCCTAGCAATATTCAAACGGCTTTTAAAAGCAAACTTCTTCCCCCCTTAAATTTTGTCTACCTGTTTCCTTAATATTTATGATTTTTATTTTTCTATTTATTCTTAACTCCTACTCTGCAATGTATCTGGCTTATATTTAAATTTATTATATATATATATATATATATATATATATATATATATATATATATATATATATATATAGGGGAGAGTCGGATATATCGTACCACTTTTCACTTTAACTCAAATATTTCGACTATAACACGTCTTATAATAATTAATACATATGTAAAATAAAGTTTCATATTTTAGCTTCCTAAGAAGAAGAGAACAGATCCGTGTGATTATTCTAACATTGTTAAAAATCCTTTTTTATAGAGGCTTGCCATCGGTACGATTTAGCCGACTCTCCCCTATATATATATATATATATATATAATATAATTATTGTTGTTAGATAATGTGAACGCAACCTTAATTATTTTCTTTATGTTGTATATCCTTTTTGCTGTTATGTTGACATTACTTTTTTCACTTCTTTAAATGGTGTCGCTAACTAATTTTCTATTAATTGAATAAATACGTTTTGTGCATTTTTATATCCGACAAGTTTTATTTCTGAATCATCCACAAATATCAACATGGTAGCAGAGCGTGGTTGATAAAAATAAAACGAGAAAAAGGAAAACAGTATAAAAACCGGCCGGCGTATTTGTTCAGTCCGCCATTTTGAGATTACACGTAATCGAAATCGAAATTGAACTGGAGCGGCGTGTGTTCAGAAATAAATTAGTTAAATACTGCCGAAACATCATTATTTCTACGAATATGAAGATGTCCAGTACAGGCCACAACTCTTTCAACATTGATAGACTTATCGGAAGAGAGAATTACGCTAGTTGGAAATTCGCCGTGGAAGCTTATTTCAAACTAGAAGATTTGTGGAGTTGTGTTGATGGCACCAATACAGACAAAAGAAAGGAAGTGAATGCGAAATCGAAGCTCATTTTACTTCTAGATCCGATCAATTATGTACACGTGCAGAGCGCTGAAACTTGTAAAGAAGCTTGGAACAACCTACAACAGGCTTTTGATGACAGCGGATTGTATAGGAGAGTAGCTTTACTGCGAGATCTGATCACAACTACTTTGGAAAGTTGCCGAAGCGTAGATGATTACGTTAACAAAATAATGTCAAACGCACACAAACTCAGAAATATTAAATTTCATATTGATGATGATGAATGGCTTGGAACGCTGATGTTAGCAGGTTTACCGTTAACGTATAAACCTATGATTATGGGCTTGGAGAGCTCCGGACTAAAAATCAGCGCTGATTCTATCAAAACTAAACTCCTGCAGGAAGTTCAATGCTCAGAGAGTACAGCATTCTTCACTAGGAAAATAGCAATCCAAGGACATCACAGCAATACAAAAGTTCAGTTCAAAGGGCCCCGTTGTTTCAATTGTAACAAGCATGGACATTTAGCCAAGAATTGTCGTGCTCAGAAGAAGAAAAATAAAGAAAAGTCAGATGAGAAAAAGAGTTTTGTTGCAACATTTTCAGCATCTTCTACTATGAATCCGGACCTGTGGTATGTGGACTCGGGTGCTTCTATGCATATGACGAACAGAAAGGACTGGATGTATGATGTAACAAGTCCACCAATACCCTCCATAACTGTTGCTAGTAAGACACCACTGCCAGTTGAAAGTATGGGAAATGTTAATTTATTCTTAAATGGTAATAAACAAGACAAGATTCAGGTAAGACAAGTATTATACATTCCTAAACTTGCTGCCAATCTCTTCTCAGTAAGTGCTATGGTGAAAAGTGGCTGTAAAGTAAATTTCACAGACAAGAGTTGTATTATTTATGATAATAAGGGAAAGTTCCTGTGTTCAGCCAGTCTAGTAAACAATCTGTATCAAATAAATACTCACCGAGAAGTTTTTTCAAACCTGACATGTACAAATAACTTAAATGATATTGTTCTATGGCATAGGCGCATGGGGCATCTGAACTTTACAGATGTGAAGAAGTTGCCGGAGTGTGCAGAGGGAGTCAATGTGTTTCCAAACGAAAGCATCAGTAACATCACATGCACCACCTGCCTTGAAGGTAAACAAAGCAGACTGCCTTTTAATAACATTGGAACCAAAGCTTCACACCCATTGCAACTCATCCACACAGACTTATGTGGACCGATGGAACAAGCATCACTGGGAGGTATGAAATATTTTCTTACCTTTATTGATGACTTTACAAGAAAGGTACATGTATATTTTTTGAAAGACAAAATGAGTGTACTCGAAGCGTTCAAAGATTTCAAAAATAAATCAGAGAATGAGCTTGATAGGAAGATAGGGATTGTTCGGTCAGACAATGGTAAAGAATATTGTAACAAAGAATTTGATATTTTCTTGAGTAGATATGGAATTGAACATCAAACGAGTACTCCGTATTCACCTCAACAAAATGGCCTTGCAGAGAGGATGAATAGGACAATAGTGGAAAGGGCCAAATGTATGTTGTTTGATGCCCAATTGTCAAAGAAATTGTGGGGAGAGGCTTTAGCAACAGCGGCTTATATCATTAATAGGTCACCCACCAAGTCAATTGATGGAAAAACTCCTATAGAGATGTGGTCCGGTAAGAAACCTAATTTGAAAGATATGAGAATTTTTGGCTCAGAAGTAATGACTCAAATACCTAAAGAGAAACGCCAAAAATGGGATTCTAAATCTCGAAAACTTATTTTTGTGGGATACTGTGAATCCAGCAAAGGATACCGGCTATTTGATTCAACAACAAATAAAATTATCAAGAGTAGAGAAGTGGTATTTTTAGAAAATGTTCAAAAATTCGACACTAATGTGTACATACCTTCTGTATCAAACAGCGGTCCTGAAGCGCTGTCACCTGAAGAGCCGTGCAAAGAAGAATCTGTAAATACCTTAGAAAACTCTTCAAGTGATGAATACCTTTCCGATGACAATGATGATCCAGCCTACATACCCGAGCGTTCAGTGGAGACACCAGTATGTAATATTAATTTGCGCCCACGTAGAGCTGTCCAGTATGCAGAGAAAGATGACCATGATGTAAGTTTCTTTTCCCCTATTCTTGATTTAAATGATCCTCAAACTGTTGATGAAGCTCTTTCATCTTCAAGTGCTGATCAGTGGAAAAATGCGATGCAAGAAGAATATGATTCTCTAATAAAGAACAAAACTTGGTCATTGGTTGATTTACCAGCCGGACGTCAAGCATTGCCATGTAAATGGGTGTATAAGAGTAAAACAAATGAAAAAGGTGAAATTATTCGTTATAAGGCTAGATTAGTCATAAAGGGATATGCTCAAAAGAAGGGAATTAATTATGATGAGGTGTATGCACCAGTTGTAAGATATACATCAATCCGATACTTACTTGCTCTAGCTGCTAAATATGATCTAGAAATGACTCAGATGGATGCCATAAGTGCATTTCTTCAAGGTGACATAGACACTGAAATCTACATGGCACAACCAGAATGTTTTCAAGAAAGTGCTAAGGTATGTCTTCTGCAAAAATCAATCTATGGGCTTAAGCAAGCAAGCCGACAATGGAACATAAAGTTAAATAATGTTCTATTTAAAATAGGTTTGGAAAGATCAAAAATGGATCCATGTGTCTATTATTCTGTAAATACCTTAAAAGTTATATTCATTGCAGTCTGGGTTGATGATTTTTTGATATTTACAAATGACAAAAACACAGCAACAGAAATTAAGGATAAGTTAGAAGAAGAACTATGTATGAAAGATCTGGGTGAATTGAAACAGTGTATTGGCTTTAATGTAAATAGAAATAGAGACACAGGTGAGATAATGATAGACCAAGAGAAATATATTAATTTAGTGTTGAATCGGTTTAATATGTCTGATTGCAAAGCAGTGCGCACTCCGATAGAGGTGAATATGAAATTAGACAAGATATCTGATAATGAAGATAGTAATTTCCCATACAGAGAAGCAATAGGCTGTCTTATATATCTGGCACAAGTTACACGACCAGATATCAGTTTTGCAGTTAATAAATTGAGTCAATATTGCAATGCTCCAGGAATGCAACATTGGCTTGGAGTAAAGCGAGTCCTCAGATATCTTCAAGGAACCAAACATCTGAAGCTGCATTATATGAAGGAAGACTCCAAAGAGATAACTGGATATTGTGATTCAGACTGGGCCAGTGACACGGTAGATAGAAAATCGTGCACAGGTTATGTTTTTATTTTTCAAAATGCATGTATTTCTTGGAATACCTGTAAACAACAGACTGTAGCTCTATCTACAGCAGAGGCCGAATATATGGCGATGGCGTCGGCGACCCAGGAAGCTCTGTGGCTTCGACAGCTACAAGCTGAACTCAAGCAAGGTTCAGACAATGAGTTGCTCATATATAGTGATAACCAAAGTGCAATACAATTAGCATCAACAGACTGTTATAAACCTAAAACTAAACACATAGATATTAGATTACATTTTCTTAGAGATAATATTGTTAAACGTAAGGTTAAATTTAAGTTTATAAATGGTTGTAATATGGTTGCCGACAGTTTAACTAAAGGTGTAACTTTTGAGAAACATTTATATTGTTTAAAAGAAATGGGTTTGCGTTCTGGAGGGAGTGTTAGATAATGTGAACGCAACCTTAATTATTTTCTTTATGTTGTATATCCTTTTTGCTGTTATGTTGACATTACTTTTTTCACTTCTTTAAATGGTGTCGCTAACTAATTTTCTATTAATTGAATAAATACGTTTTGTGCATTTTTATATCCGACAAGTTTTATTTCTGAATCATCCACAAATATCAACAATTGTGCATATTTCTTAATGGAAACAATCATGACAAATGTCTGGATTCGAAGTACATGTCTCATGTAGCCACCGTCATCGTCACCGTCTCATCATCATCATCTAGTTCTACAACAAGTGTCTCTCTTGAATCATCGCTACTGGTGATGGAATGAGATCGTTTCCTCTTATAATTTTTGTTCTTGGCCTTGGGTAGTACTTACTATACGTACTTGCTGTAGTACCATAGGTACTTGCGGTTGGTAGTCGGGTAAATCGTACCAGTACAATTTGACCAACTGCAAGTGGTGCGATTAAACCAACTAAGGCATTTCTAAAACAAAAGCAAATATCCGGCATAAGCTCAAAACTTAGACACGCAACAAAAACCCCTAATAATCTAGTATACAATTGTTGAATGATAAAAAAAACTGAATAACTATAGCTTACCTTGATTACGAGTTATTTCCTTACGAATGTACGACAATATTTATATTAATTCCTACAAAAAATGTTTTTCTTTTATTACGTGCACAGTTGTTAACTCACGTCGATTTAAACTAGTGAGTGAAGAGGGATGGTACAGGGCCACGATTTGGCGTTGTCAGTGTACAAAAAAATATTCATTAAATGGGAAATTTAGAAGTGGTACGATTTAAATGCTAGTACGATATAACCAACTCTCCCCTATATATAAATTATATATATAGATTATTGTATATTGAATGTAGTATATATATGTTTTACTATATATATGTGTATAGTTTCGTATATGTATATTTTTCTCTCACATACATATGTACACCTCTAATGTTTTATTCTGTTTACTGTGTCCTACGTAACATGGTTGCCTGGCAGAGATCGCTGCTTAGCGATAAGGCCGCCAATTGTACATTTTGATTAAGATTTGTACTGTATAATTTATTTATTCTTTGGTGTACAATAAAGAATACTTTCTTACTTACTTAATACTTTCAGGGACGGCATAAAATGTTAAAAGTGTTGCTGTACGTGAGTATACCAAATTGGATATTGGATATATTTCTAGCATTTCTGGGTATAATAACGTCAACGTATAGCATTCTTCTGAGAATTCCGCTTATTGCTGGACTCAGTAAATATTTCTTTGTTCACTATCACATTGTAACTTGTACACAATCAACCTACTTAAAATAATTTCATTATTACAGTATACGACGGTTACAACATGATTGCTATAAGCAGTGAATACAAAAGAATGACTGGAAAATTAAAACCACGGTATAAAGATATTGAAGGTGATTTGAGGAACCAACCTTTGACTCAGTACAGTAGTATACAACGTGAGGACTTCCAATACATTGGACCACACTGTAGGACTTGCAAGTGCTATGAACCAGTTCCATCAGTCCAACCAATCGCCATTCCACAGACACCTGATTCAATACAAAGTGATACGGCGCCAATGATAAACAAACATATATGCAATTTTGAGCTTAACTATGCTATAACAGGCGTTTTGAATCTAGAAGATGTAGCACAGGAAACATCAACAGGATGTATACGACCAAATACATTAGATTTAAAACTTAATACGACTGATGATGAGAAGATTGTAGTTACAGATGAACCTGTTATATACGACGTTAATCAATTAAACATAGGAACGAGTCCAGTTATTGAAGATAAGGAACTTTAAAATATAATTTGATAATGTACAGAGGGATTTATATCTTGGGTATACAGTTGATCTGTTAGTTAAAAACATTGATACAATGATGATGGATAAGAGGATCTATTGAAATGTAGGAGTAGGGTCGTAAATATTTAATGGAGAAAATATCGTAAACCAACCAAGTTTATAATTGAGTTACATTTTGCTTAAAAAATAATTAAATTAATTAATGCTGGTTGAAAATGTAAACGAATTAAACAGTTTTTTGTTTTTTGAAAGAATAATCGAATACTTTTATCGATATCATGTTTCTATTTATCATTTATATTGGAACCCCTATGTTATATTCAAATTGTCACCAAAATGTTTGTCCATATGAGTTTAAAATTGAAATTATATTTTTACTTTTAATATACAAGTGCAGATTTTTCTTTTCTTCCATGATAAGAATCTTTCTTGTTTTTGGACAACCCTCTAGTTCTTCAAGTTTCAACGCAAAAGCAGGAATGTGAGTAGTTTGAAGTGAATGTCTTTGTGTACGTCTATGGGATAGTAACTCTCAAACCGATCGACTTTCGATGCAGTTTCTTTCATTTGAAAACAAAATTATTTGCAATGGTTATAATTAGTATCAGTTGGTCTATCAATAAAAGACTTTCGGTGCTTTTCAGAAATTTTATAAAATGTTATTAATATATGATTACTCGACTAAGTGCTTCAAGCGCTTCAGTAAAATTGTTTTTTTGTTCATGTCAGCTTTGAAGCATTAGGGATGAACATAAGGGATATTGCGAATGAGATGCGGGCCTTGGTTTTTGAGGAAGGAGGAAAGGGTGGGAATAAGGAGATGGCAGGAAAGGTGGGAACAGGGAAAGGGCAACCTGTTGTCTCACTCATTGGACGAAACGCAGCCATTTAAGACTACTTCACGCCGATCTTCTGTGAGAGGGTGGTACTTACCCAGTCGAGCCAGCCTATATCCTAGTTTCATTAACTTAACAACAGCTAGAAAGTTCCACCCTTTAAAATAATAATAACCAATGTGAAGGTTTTCTGAATTAAATAAAATGTCGTTATAAAACTAATATTTTCGTAAATATTAGTTTCATTTAAATGTGTACTCGCGAAAATCTTAGATCTCATTAAAATCTTAGATCTCATTAAAAATTCTTCTACATCCGTAAGATTAGGTAGTAGAGTATACATACATTTGATATACTTAATATGAAGTTTGCCTTTTGTGCAACATTTGCACATAGCTATGAATGACATACGCAATAGACTTGAAAAGTAACTAAACTTTAGCTTTGGTTTGACATATGGCATTGTTTATAAATATTTTTTTGAACATAAATACAGATACCATAAATTGATATTGAACACATTGTCATAATCGATAAGATATGTTTTTATTATCGCATAGAGAGAAGATAACTCCATATCCTTAGTGAGGATTGACGGATAAACAACAAGTATTTAAAAAAAATATTTTACTTTTCCCTGGCTATGTCGAATTATTGGAAGGGTTTAGTGTATTGTAATATCTTCGATAGGATAAGAGGTGGGTAAGTGATACTTTCTCTATTTTCTTTATCAATATCCTAGCGTGAAAGTATTCCTAAATCTGTATTTATAAATAACTTCTTATTTTTATGGCAGAAAATTGATTGAGAGAGATTGAGAAAGAAATTTAATATTATCTTATCCCTATAAATTTGCATTGGGTTTTTTCGGAATCTCGATGCTTCGGTTCCTTTATAACAAACGTGATCACGGGCAGACGAGAAAGAAAGTCTTAGTTTCATTTCACTGTATGCAGAAATGACTGGCTTTACTGATGTTACATTAAATTATTGTAGATGTTACCCAGTTTTAGAAGTTCTATTTGAGTCATCTGAAAAAGTCGTATTTGAGCGTTTACAGATAAAAATAGGTAATAAAAAATCATAATTTTTTTATTGGCATTTAAAATAAGTTTGACGTGCGTATGACGTTAATTAATCGGCTAGAAATTGGATGGTTTGCGTTTTGCTATGGTTTGACGTTGGTGGGCCTGGGAGGCGATGGTCAAGTTCTGCGAGCACGTGATGTCGCGGAAAGAGGCCGCAGAACGTGTACGGGAAGACGACCCCTCCTCGGCGCCCTTGCGTCGACGTAGACTGGGTCGAAGGCAGCGGGCATATGCCCGCGACCTGCCTCCCCAGTGAGGAGCCTCCGGGCGTCGGTGGGGAACCAGCGTCCGGGTAACATAGGCCTGAGTAAGAGCGGCGTGTTTGGCGTTCCCGGCACGCTGCTCTTGAGTCGGAGGGGTGGTGTGGTCTAGCCACTGATACCCCTGCCGATGGCGGAGTCCCTTTCGGGACTTGTGCGTAGTGAGCGGAAGCATGGCTCGCCGTTCCCGCTCACTAGCCTACGCACTGCGCAGAGAACGCCGAGGAGTTTAGTGGGTGGAAATCCCACACGCCCCCGCCGTGTTTCCCCCGCGGCGGGAAGTCTTTGAAAGATTCTCCTCGTTAAAAAAAAAAAAAAAAAAAAAAAAAAATGGTTTGACGTTGGTATATACAAGTGGCGTTTTTATAAATCTGATTTTAAAAATATATAAATATTAAAATTCAAACACGACTTCTTCGAATCATAAAACATTAGGTCCATATCATTGTATGTTACTAATTTTGAATAATTATTTTTATTTACTACATAAATTCCATTGCGCACGTCTGAAATAATTGCGGGATTAGATAAGTGACGTTGAATAAAAATGGGTGTCAATAGATTAGTTTAAGTTTATTGACGAATACTCAGAATGACACAGCATTTTTATCTAAAAATTAAATTATTTTTGTTTATACTAACAAAAATCTATTATATGGATATAGGTAGTTCTGCAGTTGCTGGATATATATCTCTTTCTATGCACGTTTAACTGAAATAGCAAAGGAAAAAATATACTTTAAGACCTACTAATGCTTGATTGTTATTCCACCTGATGCAAGGAGGACTGAAGCCATAGATAATAAACCATTTGGCCAGTAGTAGCCTTCTTACGCTTGTATCGAAGTCAAAAGTAGCTCGCTCAAGTTGATGCAGCCTAATTGGGAAAGTATATCAGCTTTACAGAAAATCTCAACCAAATGTCGCTACTTTCAGGTAGTATCGTGTTCAACAAATCAAAATTTATGCGTACCTATACAAATCCAATATTGGCGATAGAGACAAAATTCGGTTATTTGAGTGAACACCTAGAATTGATGATGTTAAAATAATTGAGACCTACCCGAGCTGATGTGAGTCACCTTACAATATTAGTAGACTAGCGGGTAGATCTGCTTATGAGTTTATTTCTAGATTCTTATACCTGGCTAACTCACCAACAAGAAGTCCAGGCTTTGAAAGCTGGGACGGATGAAGTAACTGAAATGCAATTTAACTCGACCCTGGTTTCGGCACAAGGCTCGGTGTTATCCCCGATATTATATCTCCTAAACATCAATTATATGTTGTCTCTTGACAGTATTCATTATTTTCCTTAAGTTACCGTGATTGCTATCTACATAGCAATAGGATCGTCATTTATAGCTTATGCTCTTTTATAATTGAAACCTTTAATTGATTTTGGGACTATTGCAAATATTGCAACGTGTCTATTATTATTAAACGATTTAATCGTAAATCTACGACTTACCTAATGCTTTTTTTATTTCTTAGACGCTTGCTAGTAATACTAGGTATTTTTTTTTCAGGAATGAAAAGAAAAGGGAGGTAAACTGGCCAGAGCTTGTGACATACTGCGGGTGCTGTACATTATCGACTGGAATATTCATAAGATCGATTATAACTTTGGTAATTATTAGTTCATATATGTTTATTGTAATAAAATAAGTTTTCCTTGTATATGATAAAACAAGTTCTTGCAAGTTGGATAGTTATAAATGAATTCTTTAAATATTAATATGGCTAATATTCCGCGAATACGAATATTATTAATAATGAGTAGAAAAATATCTAAGAATTTGTCTAACTGAATAAAATGAATAAAAAAACACATAGCCTCGGTCGTCAAGACAGATATATACCAAGGTTGATCCGCGAGGCTATTGAAATTAAAAATCACCCCAATTTCAAAAGAGAAGATAACTGGAACTTATCAAACACTTGGGATTTTCTTCTTAAAAATATAAAATCCCATCTCCGTGACCACACCGCAGGACCTCGAGACACCGTGAGCGCATTCTGCCGGCAACCAGAGCGGTACGCCAGAAGATTAAGAAATCGATGGCGGTAGGTAATAAAATAACAAGACCGACTGACAGACTTTCACATCTCGTCTGCCCGTGATCACGTTTTCTGAAAAGTAACCGAAACGTCGGGAGTATGCAGTTTATAGTAAAAAATAAAAAATCGCGTAGTAAATCCGAAAATATTAGTTTCTTAGATTATGTATTGACATGAACTCTTATTTCAGGTGTTTACTTTAACATTCATGGTTTTAAATGGGATGGTACTTGGATATGTTTTGAAGCTAAGAAGAACAATAAGTGCCAACAACACAGTTGTTCAAGATGAAATCTTGGGTTTAAATCTCACCTACAGTAAAGACGAACCGACGAAATATCAATATCATTTATTTTTCATCGTATTATATTACTCAGTTTGGCTAACCTACAAATCGATCTACGTAGTTGCGTTATTGTTGACTCTTCCAGTTTTGTTTAAGGTATGTAAAGTTGACAGCGTTTTTAAGATTGAATTAGAAGCGAAATAATTTTGCTGTAAAAAAATACTTCATATACAGGGTGACTGGTGAATTACTATCAATATTTAAGGAGCATACTCGGTACATGATTCTCATTCGAATTATGTAAAAAAAATAGGTACTTAATTTTTGACCAAATTTCCGTATAAATAAATAAAGTGTAGACACGTTCCAAGTGTTCGAAGTGTGAACGCGTGCGGCGGCGTGCTGATACAACAACACGCCGCCGCGCGCGTATGTGTGTGTGTGTATACCTAATCTGTAGGGTGTT